TTTATCTCAGGACACACAAAATAATGGTGTCTGCAGTGAACCAGGTCAAAATTCTGCATCTTAAGAATCTAAAATCTGTCTAGAATCCGTCCATTGTCCATACATAAATGTTTCCCTTTGCCGGGAATGACCTTCAAAGCCTGAAGGAGTTTGGCCAAGACGTCTCTCTCTGCCCAGTCGGTGCTCTTCCTATGGGATTCTTACTCATTGCCAGTCTATCTCTGTTATATAAACCTGTTGGGGTGCTTTGGTTTGCCTTTGGCCCTTTTTCTCTGGTGGACACACCTAGTACAGCTCCCAGGAGAACCTTCCAGAAGTGACCTCCGTAAAACGTCCACACAAAGCCAAATTTGGTATTTTCCATCTCTCAAGGATCAGTGGTGGCTTTACCTGACTTGCCTGAACTGCCACACACCCGTCACCCTGTCATTGAGAACAAGCCAGTTTCCACCATCTGTAGCCACCACGCCATCATTTTCTTGCACTACATCATTACTTTTTTTAATCTAACCTTTGCATAGCAGAACAGATTGATTCCCATCTGCTTGTTGCTGCGGGGAGCTCCTGTATCCAAGGCATCTAGACTATGCAAATATTGACTTCATAGAAGTCAGTGGTAAGGAACCCCTCCTTCACATACTAGAAAACATTCTGGGATACCTCTCAGCAGGTTTCTGAAGTCTCACATTGCATTGTGTGATGGGGGATGGGTGTTCCTTGGTGTTGACTTTTCTGAAAGTCAGAATCTAAATACTGCAAGAACCTGCAATTGGACAGGAGATGCTGATCAGCATATGGTGGTGTCTAACCTTCCGGGCAAAGATCTAGTTTTTATATGTAGTAAGTAGAAGGTTTACTGTAAATTTGTACAGATTAGATATTCGAAGGGTCTCCTATCATGCCGGGAGCCCAGAGAATTGAGATAAAACACCCTTCCTTTTCCCAGATTATTTACTATGTGCCTATGAAGGGTCCTGCGTCTTTTGTGGGAATTTTTGCTCTTTGGCACTGGACTTGAATTTTCAGCATTACATTTCACCCCTGCTAGTGATATCTGCCCCTATGGGCCAACCAATAGGCATCTCTGCGTGTAAAGACTTACTACGGTGTTGGTCACTTTCTTAATGTGGGGGGCCTCAAGTGTGACTCCAGACATCGCCAAAAGGTCGCACAAAATATTTAGTGAATGCAATGCTGCAGAAAGCTGTCGAAGACAGCAAACATGCAACAGGACATGATCAGAGGCTACAGACATGCTAGACAGTGATGATCTAGGACTAAGGGCATGCTACAAGAGATGGTCAGAGACTATGGACATGCTAGGAGATGATCTAAGACTAAGGGCATGCTTCAAGAGATGGTCAGAGACTATGGACATGCTAGGAGATGATCTAAGACTAAGGGCATGCTTCAAGAGATGGTCAGAGACTATGGACATGCTAGGAGATGATCTAAGACTAAGGGCATGCTTCAAGAGATGGTCAGAGACTATGGACATGCTAGGAGATGATCTAAGACTAAGGGCATGCTACAAGAGATGGTCAGAGACTGTGGACATGCTAGAAGGAGATTGTCTAAGACTGAGGGCATGCTTCAAGAGATGGTCAGAGACTGTGGACATGCTAGAAGGAGATTGTCTAAGACTAAGGGCATGCTTCAAGAGATGGTCAGAGACTGTGGACATGCTAGAAGGAGATTGTCTAAGACTAAGGGCATGCTTCAAGAGATGGTCAGAGACTATGGACATGCCAGAAGGAGATGCTCTAAGGCTAAGGACATGGTACAAGAGATAGTCAGAGAATATGAACATGCTACAAGAAGATGATCTAAGACTAAGGACATGGTACATGAGATGGTTAGAGTCTGCAGACAAGATTAAGGAGTTGTTGAAGACATGCTTTAGGAGACTGGAGACACATTATACGACACCATAGACTTGAGACACGTTATATGTTATCATAGACTGGAGACACACTATATGACATCATTGACTAGAGAGACATTATACAACATCATAGACTGGAGACGCGCTATGCGACATTATTGACTAGAGACACATTTTATGACGTCATAGATGGGGGGCACATTATATGACATCATAGACTGGAGACACATTATATGACATCTTAGGCTGGAGACACATTATATGACATCATTGACTAGAGGCACATTATATGATGTCTTAGATGGGGGGCACATTATATGACATCAAAGACTGGAGACATGTTACATGACATCATAGACTAGAGACATGTTACATGACATCATAGACTGGAGAGACATTATACGACCTCACAGACTGGAGACACATTACATGACATCTTTGACTGGAGACACATTATACGACATCATAAACTGGAGACACGTCACATGACCTCATAGACTGGAGACACGTTATACAACATCATAGACTGGAGACACATTATACAACCTCATAAACTGGAGACACGTTACATGACATCATAGACTGGAGACATGTTACATGACATCATAGACTGGAGACACATTATACGACATCATAGACTGGAGACACGTTACATGACATCATAGACTGCAGACACGTTACATGACATCATAGACTGCAGACACGTTACATGACCTCATAGACTGGAGACACGTTATACGACCTCATAGACTGGAGACACGTTACATGACATCATAGACTGCAGACACGTTACATGACATCATAGACTGCAGACACGTTACATGACCTCATAGACTGGAGACACGTTATACGACCTCATAGACTGGAGACACGTTACATGACATCATAGACTGCAGACACGTTACATGACATCATAGACTGCAGACACGTTACATGACATCATAGACTGCAGACACGTTACACGACCTCATAGACTGGAGACACATTATACAACATCATAGACTGGAGACACATTATACGACCTCATAAACTGGAGACATGTTACATGACATCATAGACTGGAGACATGTTACATGACATCATAGACTGCAGACACATTACATGACATCATAGACTGGAGACACATTATACGACCTCATAGACTGGAGACACGTTACATGACATCATAGACTGCAGACACGTTACATGACATCATAGACTGGACACACGTTATACGACCTCATAGACTGGAGACACGTTACATGACCTCAGACTGGAGGCACACGTTACATGACGTCATAGACTGGAGACACGTTACATGACATCATAGACTGGAGACACATTATACGACCTCATAGACTGGAGACACGTTACATGACCTCAGACTGGAGGCACACGTTACATGACGTCATAGACTGGAGACACGTTACATGACGTCATAGACTGGAGACACGTTACATGACATCATAGACTGGAGACACATTATACGACCTCATAGACTGGAGACACGTTATATGATATCACGGAGAACCATGATACGAGACGGCTGGAAGAACCAATGATTCCACAATTATGCCCCCCACAGCCCCCTTAAGAACACATTTGACATACAGTAGCTTTTATCACGAACCAAAATAAAATATCAGAAGGGGAAAAACATGAAATTCCAGATGAGGCGAACATAAATATATAAGAAAGTGTGAAAGGAATAAACCAAACCATGAAACTACTAGAAGCCGATGTAAGAATACGTTTCCTTTACTGGCTTCAGAAAGCAGCAGAACACGGACTACTGTCTTCAGGGGCCCCACAACAGGTGACAAAGGGCACCAGGTACTTATAACATAGAAGGGTTCCAAGTTGTAGGCCAATTCATTCTACATGGAAAATTCCCGAGGACTAATGCAGGCCATAGATGGGTCGAAAATCGGCCGATTTTCGGATCGTTAGTGGGCGATTTGGTCGGCCGTTTTTCGGGATTTTGGCCGGTTTTTTTTTCGGTAAAGTTGCAAAAAAAACGGGCGATTTTGCCGATCGGCCGATTTTCGCGGCAATTAGTGGGCAAATCGGCCGATTTTTTTACCAATAAAAATCTGCGCATGAGCAGTGACCTGCAAGAGGAAGACAAAAAGAAGAAAAAGAAGAAGAGGAAGAGGATGAAGAAGAAGATGAAGAAGAGTATGAGGATGAGGAAGAAGAGGATGAGGAAGAAGAAGAGGATGAGGATGAAGAAGAAGAAGAGGATGAAGAAGAAGAGGATGAGGAAGAAGAGGATGAGGATGAAGAAGAGGATGAGGATGAAGATGAGGATGAAGAGGATGAGGAAGAAGAGGATGAGGAAGAAGAAGAGGATGAGGATGAAGAAGAAGAGGATGAGGATGAAGAAGAGGATGAGGAAGAGGATGAGGATGATGAAGAAGAAGAGGATGAGGATGAAGAAGAAGAATAAGAAGAAGAGGATGAGGATGAAGAAGAAGAGGATGAGGATGAAAAGAAGAAGAGGATGAGGATGAAGAAGAAGAAGAGGATGAGGATGAAGAAGAGGATGAGGAAGAAGAAGAGGATGAGGATGAAGAAGAAGATGATGAGGATGAAGAAGAAGAGGATGAGGATGAAGAAGAAGAAGAAGAGGATGAAGAAGAAGAAGAGGATGAAGAAGAAGAAGAGGATGAGGATGAAGAAGAGGATGAGGATGAAGAAGAAGAAGTAGGATGAAAATAAGAGGAATTCCAGTCCAGCAAAAAGTGTATCTGCAGAGAGCTCCGCTATTTCTGACAGTTCTCTGACAGTTCCTTCACATTTACAGCGGTTGCAACAATGTATCTATTTGTTTCTGTATAAAAACATCTGTATCCTAAATGGAAACAAATAGATACATTGTTGCAACCGCTGTAAATCTCAAGGAACTGTCAGAGAACTGTCAGAAATAGCGGAGCTCTCTGCAGGGACACTTTTTGCCGGCTGTAGAGGGGATGAAAATCGGCCGATTTTTTTTACCATTGATGGTAACGTCGGCCGCTTGAACGACCGAATTTTCGTTTTTTAAAAGAAAAATCTGCCGTTTTTCTCCCCATCTATGGCCTGCATAATGTTACCCATTGTACCCGGAGCACCGATATGTCTCAGGTGTCAGTTACCTTGGTAATCAAGCAGATTTTGATGGCTGTACTTGCGGTGCCCTGGTCTGAAATAAGAGAGAGATAAGGAGTGATTCTAAGAAATGATTCCACATCGGTGTTAAATGTTCTTTTCTGCCCTTTTCACAAAACACAGCTGGCTGCCTATTAATGAGACTCACAGTAAATTAATTTATTCAGAGCGGACCCGCTTTCTAATCATTGCTTTTTTCTGGGCAGCTTTGATTAATAGAGGATATTAAAAAAATAACAGCCTTTCTGGCAGGATCAACAGGTAACACAGCTATGTTGTGGGGGAGGGGAGGGACTCGAAAAAACAAAGGCTGCTGTGTGGCCCTGCCAGTGTCCTATAGGTCATTTTGGAGTTCCAATTCAAGGCTTTTCTGATATTCAAATATGTTAAGTTTTGGTTTCATAACTTTCAAAGCCGACAGATATAAACTGTACAGATGAGAGATATACTATATAGCAGGGGCGGACTGACCATTCGAGGACTAGGGCACCGCCCGAGGGCCTGGGGTCAGTAGGGGGCCCCATGAAATGCCCCTGGTACCTGTTTATAGGCTTTTCTGGGTGTGCTTTGAGTGTGGGCAAGGACACAGGGCCCCATGATCCTCTATTGCCTGGGGGCCCCATGCGTTGTCAGTCCGCCCCTGCTATATAGCCAAAGGTCTGAGGACCCCTGACCAACCATCACACATACAGAGCTGTGAAAAAGTATTTGCCCCCTTCCTGATTTTTTTTTTTTGGCATATTTGTCATATACTCAACTGATTCAGATCCTCAAACAAATGTTAACATTCCACAGAGATAACCCGAGTAAATGCAAAATGCATTTTTTTTTAAATGACGATTTCTTTTATTAAGGGAAAAAAGCTGTCCAAGCCTGCCTGGCCCTAAGTGAAAAAGTAATTGCCCCCCCTAAACCTAAGAACTGCTTGGGCCACCCTTGGCGGCAACGATTGCGATCCAGCGTTTGGCGAGGAGTCTTTCACATCGCTGTGGAGGAATTTCGGCCCGCTTTTCTTCACAGAATTGGTGTCATTCAGCCTCATTGGAGGGTTTTCCAGCATGAATGGCCTGTTTAAGGTCCTGCCACAGCATCTCAATTGGATTTAAGTCCGGACTTTGACTAGGCCACTCCAAAAACCTTCATTTTTGTTTTTTCTTTTAGCCATTAACAGGTGGACTTGTTGGTGTGTTTCAGATTATTGTCCTCCTACATAACCCAAGTGTGCTTGAGATTGAGGTCAGGAACTGACATTCGCCTTCAGGTTTTTTCTGGTTGAGCGCAGAATTCATGGTTCCATCAATTATGGCAACTTGCCAGGTCCTGAAGCTACAAAGCAGCCCAGACCATCATACTACCACCACCATGTTTCACTGTTGGTATGATTTTTTTTATGAAATACTGTGTTAGTTTTATGCCACATGTAACGGGACGCACACCTTCCAAAAAGGTCAACTTTTGTCTCATCAGTCCACAGAATATTTGCCCAAAATTCTTGGGGATAATCAACATGTTTTGGCAAACGTCAGACGAGCCTTTGTGTTCTTTTAGGTCATCAGTGGCTTTGGCCTTGGAACTCTCCCATGGAGGCCATTTTTGCCCAGTCTCTTTGTTATTGTTGAACCCATGAATGCTGACCGTAACTGAGGCAAGTGAGGCCTGCAGTTCTTTGGATGTTGTTCTGGCTTCTTTTATGATCTCCTGAATGAGTCGTCATTGTGCTCTTGGAGTCATTTTGGTAGGCCGGCCACACCTGGAAAGATTCACCATACGTTTTCACTGTTTGTGGATAATGGCTCTCACCGTGGTTCGCTGGAAATCCAAAGACTAAAACAAGGCTTTGTAACCCTTTCCAGACTGATACATGTTAATTACTTTGTTTCTCATCTGTTCTTGAGATTTCGTTAGATTGCGGCATGATGTGTTGCTTTTCAAGATCTTTTAGCATGCTTCACTTTGTCAGACAGCTTCTATTTAAGAGATTTCTTGATTCAACAGGTCTGGTAATAATCAGTGCGGAAAGTGAAATTTAACTCAGCTTTCAAAATAATGTGGTTAATCACAGATCGTTCATGATTTAGCGGGGGGGGGGGGGGGGGGCAATGACTTTTTCACATAGGGCCAGGAAGGTTTGGACAGCTAATAAATTATTTTAAATCATTTAAAAACTGCATTTTGCATTACAATTTGTTTGATGGTCATTTAAGTGTGACAAATATGCAAAAAAAAAATAACAAAAATCAAGAAGGGGGGCGAATACTTTTTCAGAGCACTGTATATGTACTTGATGGACCCCTGACTATCATGCCTATATGAGCTTGTTGGACACTTCATTCCAAAACCATGAACATATGGAGCTGATCCCCTTTGTGGGTAAACAGCCTCCACTCTTCTAGGAAGGCTTTCCACAAGATTTTGGACTGTGTCTATGGCAATTTGAGCCCATTCATCCTTTAGAACAATTGTGAGGTCAGGGACAGATGTTGGATGAGAAGATCTGGCTCATACCTGGTATTCCAATTAATCCAGGTGTTCAGTAGGGTTGAGGGCCCTGTGAGTACACTGAACTCATCAAACGTCGTCTTTATGGAGCTGGCTTTGTGCACAAGGGTATGGTCATGATGGAACAGAAAAGGACCTTCTCCAAACTGTGCACATTGTCTAAAATGACTGTATGCTGTAGCATTAACAGTATCCATTACTGGGAACAACTGAATTCAATGTTTTGGAGGGGTGTTCTCACTTTTGGCCATCTAGGTAGTTGTGGTCAGATGTCCAAAATCATTTGGCCATATAGCTTGTTAATCATCTTCCATGCAATCTGGCTTTTTTGGTTTTAGGTTCAAGTTTGGTCATCTCCATGTATACCCAGATTTATATATATCCCTCCATATCATGTGATTCAGGTGTTCCAATCCCCTCCATGGACACAGGTGTATACAATCAAGCCCCTAGGCATGCAGACGGCTTCTACAAACATTGGTGAAAGAATGGGTCGCTCTCAGGAGCTCAGTGACTCCAAGCGTGGTCCCGTGATCGGTGGCCACCTGGGCAATAAGTCCATCCGTGACATTTCCTGGCTACTAAATATTCCACGCTCAACTGTTAGTGGGATTATAACAAAGTGGAAGCCACTGGGAACAACAGCCACTCAGCCACCAAGTGGTAGACCACGTCACATGACAGGGCGGGGTCAGCGCATGCTGAAGCGCACAGTGCGCAGAAGTCGCCAACTGTCTGCAGAGTCAATAGCTAAAGACCTCCAAACTTGGTGTGGCCTTCAGATGAGCCCAACAACAGTGCGTAGAGAGCTCCATGGAATGGGTTTCCATGGCTGAGCAGCTGCATCCAAGCCTTCCATCACCAAGTGCAATGCAAAGCGTCGGATGCCGTGGTGTAAAGCACACCGCCACTGGACTCTAGAGCAGTGGAGATGTGTTCTCTGGAGTGACCAATCACACTTCTCTGTCTGGCAATCCAATGGACATGTCTGGGTTTGGTGGTTGCCAGGAGAACGGTACTTGCTTGACTGCATTGAGCCAAGTGTAAAGTTTGGGGGGGATTATTGTGTGGGGTTGTTTTTCAGGGGTTGGGCTTGGCCCTCTAGTTCCAGTGAAGGGAACTCTCAAGACATCAGCATACGAAGACATTTTGGACAATTTCATGCTCCCAACTTTATGGGAAGAGTTTGGGGATGGCCCCTTCCTGTTCCAACATGACTGCCCACCAGTGCACAAAGCAAGGTCCATAAAGACATGGAGGAGCCAGTTTGGGGTGGAGGAACTTGACTTTCCTGCACAGAGTCCTGACCTCAACCCCATAGAACACCTTTGGGATGAATTAGAGCGGAGACTGCGAGCCAGGCCCCCTCCCCCGACATCAGTGCCTGACCTGACAAATGTGCTTCTGGAAGAATGGTCCAACCTTCCCATAGACACCCTCCTAAACCTTGTGGACGGCCTTCCCAGAAGAGTTGAAGCTGCCAACTCAATATAGCTGCAAAGGGCGGGGCCAACTAATATTGAACCCTACGGACTAAGACTGGGGGGCCATTAAACTTTATGTGTGTGGAAAGGGTGGGGCCAACTCAATATTGAACCCTACGGACTAAGACTGGGGGGCCATTAAAGTTTATGTGTGTGGAAAGGCCGGCCGACCAATACTTTTGGCAATATGGTGTATGTATCATGCGGAAGGGTTAAGTCCTCCAGTGTCCAGGGGATGTACACTGCTCTGCCAAAGAGTGCAACCCTGTCTGGCAGGGAAGGGGACCTGATCTTTCTATGCTGCAGTTTCGCTTTCACTTACAAGTCTTCTACCCACAGCCACCTAGTTACTGGACAGTGAAGGGAAATCAGCACACTGATGAGCTTATGTCTGTCACTCCACTCTCTCTGCCTATCAGCCAGGGGCGGACTGACAACTCATGGGGCCCCCGGGCAATAGGAGATCATGGGGCCCCTGTGTCCTTGCCCAAACTGAAAAAGGTACCAGGGGCATCTCATGGGGCCCCCTACTGACCCCGGGCCCTCGGGCAGTGCCCAAGTTTCCAAATGGTCAGTCCGCCCCTGCTATCAGCATATTCCTTTTGTTGCAGAACACCTGATTGGCTCCATGGATTGCTTCTTCCGCCACTCTCTCTGAGCTCTGCTGTACAGGGGATGCAAAGGCTGATACCAAGTCAAATGCAGATACTTACACTAAACTTGCATTAAAAAATTACATATATTGACAGGGCTGGGACAAGGGGTGAGTGGGGGGGGGGGCGGCTGCCCTGGGCGCCATAGGTTTACTGTAGGGATGGGGGCACCTTCCCTCTGTTACAATGTTGACAGCAGTAGTGACAGCGGCAGAGACTGCTGGGCATAGGATCCCCCAAGCTTGCACATCATGACTGGGGTTGGGGGTGGGGGGGGGGGGCAGTTTGGTATCTTTGCCCTGGGCACTGGATGAACTTGTCCCGACACTGTAGATTGATGTAGAAATGATTACATAGTTGCAGTAATTTGTGGAGTTCAGCGAGGGCTTAGACAATGTATAAAGACTGGTGGAGGTTCTATTACCTTTTACTGTTGTATCCAAAATTTACAAGAAATTTTTTTTTTTTTGCTTTGATTCGGCTTTAAAACAGATAAATATTTTATAGTTTTCCTTTACATTGACTTTTTTTCCTTCTACAATGTCTGAGAGGGATCGTTCTCACCAGATACCTTGTCCTGCATTTGGCCACATTTTCTAGCGCAGGCATCAGAAAAGCCTTTGACTTCAATGGTTTCCACCAATAAGATGCATAGCAAAGCTTCAGAAATAAAATTCTCTGTACCACATTGTTGGTACATTGGCCTTGGAACTCAGATCCATTCAAGTGGAATCTTAGGAATCATCCTTTCACATGAATGTTCAGGTCCACCTGTCTGCTTTTCAGAACCTCCATTCCTCTCTATGGATCGGTGGGATGTGTCCGTTTACGCCCGCCTACATCCAATCCGATGTACAAGCAAGATGGGGATTCGCTCCCCTCTATCTGGCTGGATCAGATGGCAGTAAGCGGACAGGCGGTCCCTTTACATCCGACCGCCCATAGAGAAGAGCGGGCAGAGCGGACCTGTCCTCCTCCATCAGCGGGGATCACCAGATAGATCCCCTGCTGAGCAAGCAGATCACAGGCGGAGTCCGCCTCGTGTGAAAGGGGCCTTACTAAAAACGTCATGCAAGTCATCATATGTGGTCATGTTAACATTTTTTATTGGTTGACCTAGATGGGCTTTTGTAACTATGTAACAATGCAACTATGTACCAAGTTAATGTCATTTTAAAGACTTCAGTATCTACAGCTTTCAATACGTTAACACCTGTTGATCCTCCCATGAAGGGCCTTGGTAGGGCACTTCCTGTTATCAAGTGACAATGCTCAGTCCTTGTCTCCCAAGTGTGCTTCTATGTTGTCACCCTTAAACAAAGAACTTAGAGGGCCGCTTTAAGCGCTAAAAAGTTGTCGTTGCCCCCCCCCCTCCCACTGTCCAAAGCACATATTAGGTGTCAGCGTTCAATCAAGCTCATCCAGGCTAGCGGAAGCAATCGGAAGACAGAAAGTGGAAGCGTCACACGCCAGAACCTAGCCACTATACTGAGAGGTGAAGATATGGCTTCAGCCTAAGTTCCTCCTGACTACACCCTTGAGGGTATTGTCAGCTTAGGATGGAGCCATATCTTCACCTCTCGGTCAGTATAGTGGCTGGGTTCCGGTGTGCAGCTTTTCCACCCTCCTGTGTAGTCACCCTGTCACATAATCCCACCATGGAGACTACTAGAGGCCATTTCAACCCACGTTATCCATGGTTGTCACCATCAGGAAACCCACCATAAAAAACCCATGCGGCCATCACTGGAGCTGACGTAGACAGAAAGGGGTTTATTTACTAAAGCTGGAGAGTCCAAAATCAGACTCCCTTCTGCATAGAAACCAATCAGCTTCTAACCTCAGCTTGTTCAATGAAGCTTTGGCAATGAAACCTGGAAGCTGATTGGTTTCTATGCAGAAGGGAGTCTGATTTTGGACTCTCCAGCTTTAGTAAATAAACCCCAAAGTGACTGCAAAGAGGAGATCAGCAGCACTGAGGTGTAACAAAGGATGAGATCATAGTAAACCAAGTATGTTAGTTTTAAAAATGGTGACCGTTTCTGATACATGGTACGTTACAAAATGAAATGTCTTTCAGTTGGGGTCTACATCTACTTTAACGCATGCACCGTGGTGAGGACAGGCCCTCAGCTAAAGTAAAAAAGCACATTAAGTTAATAAATCACCGACAACCACAGACAGGCGCCAACGCTTTTGAGAACCAAGTGCAAAATAGAGAACCAAATTGCCACCACCAGCTAGGACAAGACTCTGCGTTAGTTTGTGAAACACACCACCCAGAAGACAAAGAAAAAACATGACCACAGAAAACACAGACTATGACTAAGGGCAATGAGTCTTAGTGCTACACCATGTCAGTAGGATACCTGTGAAGATGAGTCACCACCACCACCAACTAGAGCATGCTTGTAGAACCCATGATTCTATGACACCCATTGGACCACCAGCCCAGCATGCTCCACAAAAGGTTAACCTGAGTTGCCACCATGTCTTAAAGCATCTTGGTCACTACAATCAATGTGTGAAAGTGTTCCCTCAACAAAGCTTTGGAATACTCACATCTTCCTCTGTCCCTGCTGCAGATATTTCTGTAGTAGAGGATCTGACACTTCCAGGAGTGTCGATTTCCTGGTCCCCTGCTGTGGTTCCAGCTGCCACATCTGTTACATCACTACAGTACATGTAGCACCCTCCTAGTTAGGTGCTAGGTAAGTTAAGTAAATTTAGTTCTTTAGCTCCTATTCCTCATCAATGGAGCAGCATGTGATTGCTTTGGTCTGTTCTGAGGTTGACTGGTTGTGGGTTTGACAGCTTCCCCCTGTTTTCTGGAGAATTCTGGAAAGTAGTAGTAGGCTGCAAAGTCAAATCTATGGTTTGAATATTCATGTGGTTCCAGGCAATCCCTGGGGGGGGGGGGGTCCCAGTAGATAGCTGGGAGAGTGCATAAATACTTGGAGGCCTAGAGAGGTTCTTCTCCAGTAGAAGAAGTACACAGCCAGAAGGGCTGCTGTCCAACTGTTCTTCTCCATTTGCTCAAGGTCCTAGCTGTGGCAGAGCTGGGGGGGCCTACTGAATTTTGCTGGAGCTGACCAAGGGATTTCCCTGGGGATCTGGTCTGAAGAGTCCATAGGAGACATGTCTGGCTGATATTGGATGGAGGTATCCAAATATCCAAGTACAGACTGGTGTATGAGATCCCAATGACTGTGTGCTGCTAGAATCCTATTGCATCAGTGCCAGCCTGGGTTGAAAGGTAGACATTCCTTACGGTGTCCCTGTATAGTTCATCCCATTATTTGCTGCAGCAAGACTGAGCTAGGAATCTTTGAGAAAGAGTCTTCAAGTTACTACTTTGCCTGACATGAGTATCCCATGGTTACCCTGCACCCAGGGGCGGACTGACCATTTGGAAACTCGGGCACTGCTCAAGGGCTCGGGGTCAGTAGGGGGCCCCATGAGATGCCCTTGGTACCTTTTTCATAGGCTTTTTTGAGTTTGGGCAAGGACACAGGGGCCCCATGATCCCTTACTGCCCGGGGGCCCCATGAGTTGTCAGTCTGCCCCTGCGTGCACCCATCAAGTTTGAGTTTAATAAAGCATAAAAAAAAAGGATACCCCTAGACCAGTATTTGCAGCCAGACACACAGTCTCCGTCACTCTTCTGGCTCAGTGATTATTCTAGGGCGGGGGTCTCCAAACTTTCAAAACAAAGGGTCAGTTTACTGTCCTTTAGACCTAAGAGGGGCCAAACTGTGGCCTTTGGGAGTAGAAAAGGTCCTGTCGGTATTGGGAACAAACAATACCCCATCTTTGGTGTAGGTGGGAGGAATAGTGTCCCATCGATGGTGTAGGCGGGTGCAATTGTGCCCCATCGTTGGCACCATTGGGAGGAATTGTGCCCCATCTTTTGTGTCATTGGGAGGAATTATGTCCCATTGTTGGTATCAGTGCTGTTTAATGTGCCCGGAAGGCACGGTGAGCTTTGGAGCACCATTGGTCTACCTCCAGGGGCAATCAACCTGGGCGTACATTTTCGATTGGGAGTGATGAGTATCCCATGTCTTCTTTATTTCACACATTCATTTTAGTGACGGCATCATTTTAAGGTCTACCTGTGGTTGGGTAATATCTAATACCTTGCCATGAAATGTTTCAGTTACAAAAAATGGGTCTTTAAAGACGAATATTTCAGTTTTGCGTAGAGGCCAGAACCGCCCGCCATTTATTTTACTCTCCTCAGAGATTCCAGCTGTGTGATCTCCATGCTTGAGTTCCCAGCATCCCCCACCTGCTTCCGTCACGAGGGGATCTCACATCTCATAGAATGCAGAAGAAGGAGTGAGTTTGCCCCGAGTGGGTGGCAGAGCCGAGAATGTTGGTATGGAGATCTCACCACTGGTGGTGTACCAAGCCCATGAGGACCTCAGGACATCAGAACCCACACAACCGAAATGGAAGAATTTACATATTTCCACTAAACTTGGTTACTTTTGTTTTTATTGAGTCATTTTTTTCTTAAGCTCACATAAGTCAGGAATGAACTATTGAGTCGGCGTACCTCCTGGTATCCGGGTTTGTCCTGATGTCATTCATCGGCTGTCGCCCCATGGCTTCTCTGCTAGGAACTCTAATGTTTTCATGGGTGTCGTACAAAGAGACCTCATTGTTATGGACTCCCCGCCGCCGAAGATCTCCAGATGAAATATACAAGCCTTCTTCGTTGCCCTAAGAGGAGAGGGATGACGTCATTACCCGCAGTTGGTTCATGGCCATCAGCCATATTCCTGGTGCACAACGGGGGGCTCAGATACATTTCTGGGGTCCCCAGATTGTTATTGACCATATTCATTAGATAAGGTTTTATGCAGGAAGGTTTCATGGCACAGCTTCCCCCGTCATATATATATCAGTGGAGATGATGAGAAGCAAGCACCCTACTCAGTCAGGAGGGGTAGTGTCTGCAGGGGGTACCACCAGTACTTCTCTATGGGGCCCAGGCCAGAAGGGGGCCCAGGCACCTGGGTGAATCAGATGTGGGCAGGGAGGATGATCAGCATGGCGGGGGGGGGGGGGGTGATTACTGGAACCCATCCCCTGTATGGCTCTCTCTGCAGCAGCTGAAAGCCATACAGGGGATCGGTTCCAGTAACTGACCACCCACCATGCCCATCACCACCCTGTGTCTCCTCCTGCTATCCAGGCCCCCCTGTGTGTCCCCACCCCCCGCAGTTCCGCTGGCTTCCCTCCTCTCCTACTCACCAGCAGCTGCGGGCACACAATAGTATCCTTAACCCCTTGGGCACATCCTGGTCCTTTTAGGGGTTTCTGACGCCAGGAGGTGGGGCGGGCTTTAGGGTCATGTGACCGCCGTGAGCAAAACAAAATTGAGAAGAAGGAAAGCCCATCTATTATGACGGGAGGGAAAAAAAAAAGAATACTCTTTACCCACTTCTGCGCCTATAGCAGAAATGCAGCTACAGGGCGGCACGGGTGCGCAAAATCACGTACTGTATATATATGATTTTGCAGTTCCAGGTAGGGGGCGCACACGGCCTCAGCTGTGAAGATGAAGAGACTCTACATCAGAGTCCAAATCACAGCCCCCCTTGCATTAGAGTCTCTTTATACCAGAATCTCCATTGGCGTCCCCATCAAAGTTCACCCATCCATCAGAATGCCCATTGGAGTCCCCCTTTAATCAGAGTCCCCATCAGAGCCTCCCTTGTGTTAGAGTCTCCTTACATCAGTGTCCCCACTGGAGTTCCCCTTACATCAGAGTCCAAATCACAGCCCCCCTTGTATTAAAGGGCACTCAGATGGGGACTCTGATGTAAGGGGGGGACTTTGATAGGGACTCTGATGTACGGGGGGGGGGGGACTTTGATGGGGATTCTGATGTAAAGGGCACTCAGATGGGGACTCTGATATAAGGGGGGGGGGGGGGGGCTTTGATGGGGACTCTGATGTAAAGGGGGGACTCTAATATAAGGGTTAATTTTTTTATGGAGGCTTTGATGCGGGGGGGGGGGTCTGATATAAGGGTTGAATTTAATGGAGACTCTGATGAAAGGGAGGCTCTGATAAGAAACTGTGATGTAATGGGGTTTGTGATGTATAGGGGGACTCTGATAGGCTCAAGTTTATTGTTCAAAACTGTCTGACGCAGATCAGCCCCATGCTGACACCTTTTGCCTGGCTGCAGAGATATAGTGTGATCAGTGAGGGGGAAGAGACGGAGGAAATGCTTCCTCTTGGCTGCAGCAGACTGACGACGTCATCTCAGTCACGGCAAAGTCACCTCGCTGGAACTCGAGGACTTGGCGGGAGAAGTGCTGTGATCTCTGGGGGAGGGGATACAGAGCTGAACATGTTCCATATACATACTACATGGCATGTATGCAATTAACACGGACAAATATATACACTATATTGCCAGAAGTATTGGCTCCGCCCTCCCAATCATGTGATTCAGGTGTTCCAGTCCCCTCCATATCATGTGATTCAGGTGTTCCAATCCCCTCCCTATCATGTGATTCAGGTGTTCCAATCCCCTCTGTTCCAATCCCCTCCCAATCATGTGATTCAGGTGTTCCAATCCCCTCCCAATCATGTGATTCAGGTGTTCCAATCCCCTCCCAATCATGTGATTCAGGTGTTCCAATCCCCTCCATATCATGTGATTCAGGTGCTCCAATCCCCTCCCAATCGTGATGCAGGTGTTCCAATCCCCTCTATATCATGTGATTCAGGTGTCCCAATCCCCTCCATGGACACAGGTGTATACAATCAAGCCCCTAGGCATGCAGACGGCTTCTACAAACATTGGTGAAAGAATGGGTCGCTCTCAGGAGCTCAGTGACTCCAAGCGTGGTCCCGTGATAGGTGGCCACCTGGGCAATAAGTCCATCCGTGACATTTCCTGGCTACTAAATATTCCACGCTCAACTGTTAGTGGGATTATAACAAAGTGGAAGCAACTGGGAACAACAGCCACTCAGCCACCAAGTGGTAGGCCACGTCACATGACAGGGCGGGGTCAGCGCATGCTGAAGCTCACAGTGTGCAGAAGTCGCCAACTGCCTGCAGAGTCAATAGCTAAAGACCTCCAAACTTGGTGTGGCCTTCAGATGAGCCCAACAACAGTGCGTAGAGAGCTTCATGGAATGGGTTTCCATGGCCGAGCAGCTGCCTTCCATCACCAAGTGCAATGCAAAGCGTTGGATGCCGTGGTGTAAAGCACGCCGCCACTGGAGCAGTAGAGACGTGTTCTCTGGATTGACCAATCACACTTCTCTGTCTGGCAATTCGATGGATGTGTCTGGGTTTGGCGGTGGCCAGGAGAACGGTACTTGCCTGACTGCATTGTGCCAAGTGTAAAGTTTGGTGGAGGGGGGATTATTGTGTGGGGTTATTTTTCAGGGGTTGGGCTTGGCCCCCTAGTTCCAGTGAAGGGAACTCTTAAGCCAACATTTTGGACAATTTCATGCTCCCAACTTTGTGGGAGGAGTTTGGGGATGGCCCCTTCCTGTTCCAACATGACTGCCCACCAGTGCACAAAGCAAGGTCCATAAAGACATGGAGGAGCCAGTTTGGGGTGGAGGAACTTGACTGTCCTGCACAGAGTCCTGACCTCAACCCCATAGAACACCTTTGGGATGAATTAGAGCGCAGACTGCGAGCCAGGCCTCCTCCCCCGACATCAGTGCCTGACCTGACAAATGTGCTTCTGGAAGAATGGTCCAACCTTCCCATAGACACCCTCCTAAACCTTGTGGACGGCCTTCCCAGAAGAGTTGAAGCTGTTATAGCTGCAAAGGGCGGGGCCAACTCAATATTGAACCCTACGGACTAAGACTGGGGGGCCATTAAAGGTCATGTGTGGGGAAAGGGCGGGGCCAACTCAATATTGAACCCTACGGACTAAGACTGGGGGGTCATTAAAGGTCATGTGCGTGGAAAGGGCGGGGCCAACTCAATATTGAACCCTACGGACTAAGACTGGGGGGCCATTAAAGGTCATGTGTGTGGAAAGGCCAGGGACCAATACTTTGAGCAATATAGCGTATATGGTGACAGGTCCAATTTAATTGCCCCCAATACACGAGGACCCCCCTCCCTGAACACGTCATCCTATATATGGAGGACTCACCAGATCTTTCTTTATTTGGCAATGAACCAGAAGTGACGCCAACTCCATATTTTCACCATAACCGTTCTTCAAGGGAATCGATCGATATCCTGAAAGACATGATCGGAATTATTAGATTCTATTATCTGTTCCTCTCTGTTCTTACTAACCAGCACCCCAACCACTGCACCACCTGCACCCAACACCCCAACCCTGCACCACCTGCACCCAACACCCCAACCACTGCAACACCTGCACCCAACACCCCAAGTACTGCACCACCTGCACCCAACACCCCAACCACTGCACCACCTGCACCCAACACCCCAAGTACTGCACCACCTGCATCCAACACCCCAACCACTGCACCACCTGCACCCAACACCCCAAGTACTGCACCACCTGCACGCAACACCCCAAGTACTGCACCACCTGCACCCAACACCCTAAGTACTGCACCACCTGCACCCAACACCCCAAGTACTGCACCACCTGCACCCAACACCCCAAGTACTGAACCACCTGCACCCAACACCCCAACTCTGCACCACCTACACCCTGACTCTCTTAGCACCCAACACCCCAAGTACTGCACCATTTCTGCCACCCAGCACACCATACCACTGGAGTATGGAAGGGTTAGGACTTCTATCAGGTCTCGGTTTTGCTGTTGCTATCACCAGGACAGGAAGTGAGGGACATTTCCTCCAGTGGGGCATAGACGGCATTATATGTCTCCCTTTATTAGACCGGGACAGTGTTAGACCCTTTGTCATGTCTGGAGTTTCCAGAACGGCTCACAGAGAGGCTGTTGGAACATCAATAATTGGGGAAATGCTGACGAACATCAAACCCATTTCTAAGGCTTGGTGGCCCTGGAGAGGCTGCTCCTGTCAGACAGAATTACCCTAAGAGACCTAAAATCAGAATCCTGAAGACAAACATGACACGAAGAGCGAGAGACCAAGACTGAGCACACCCTATTGGGCACTGGTGGTAACTCAGCAAGAATGGTTCCCCTTTATTGCAATATAGTGGAGTACAGTTCATCCAACGTGTTTCACCCCTCAAGCCTTAAAGTGTTCCTAAAGCCGGACCCCGCAATCACTATATCCGCTCTCCCCGGACCCCGCATTCACTATATCCGCTCTCCCCGGACCCCGCATTCACTATATCCGCTCTCCCCGGACCCCCCATTCACTATATCCGCTCTCCCCGGACCCCGCATTCACTATATCCGCTCTCCCCGGACCCCGCATTCACTATATCCGCTGACCCCCGGACCCCGCATTCACTATATCCCCTCTCCCCGAACCCCGCATTCGCTATATTCGCTCTCCCCGGACCCCGCATTCGCTATATCCGCACTCCCCGGACCCCGCATTCGCTATATCCTCTCTCCCCGGACCCCGCATTCGCCATATCCGCTCTCCCCGGACCCCGCATTCGCTATATCCGCTCTCCCCGGACCCCGCATTCGCACCATATCCGCTCTCCCCGGACCCCGCATTTGCTATATCCGCTCTCCCCGGGCCCCGCATTCGCTATATCCGCTCTCCCCGGACCCCGCATTCAATATATCTGCTCTCCCTGGACCCTGCATTCACCATATCCGCTCTCCCTGGACCCCGCATTCACCATATCCGCTCTCCCCGGACCCCGCATTCACCATATCCGCTCTCCCCGGACCCCGCATTCACCATATCCGCTCTCCCCGGACCCCGCATTCACTATATCCGCTCTCCCCGGACCCCGCATTCACTATATCCGCTCTCCCCGGACCCCGCATTCACTGTATCCGCTCTCCCCGGACCCTGCATTCACTGTATCCGCTCTCCTCGGACCCCGCATTCACTATATCCGCTCTCCCGGACCCCGCATTCACTATATCCGCTCTCCCCGCACCCCGCATTCACTATATCCGCTCTCCCGGAACCCCGCATTCACTATATCCGCTCTCCCCGGACCCCGCATTCACTATATCCGCTCTACTCGGACCCCGCATTCACTATATCCAGTCCCCCACAGTACACACAACATGGAAATGCAATTATTTTAGTAAATATAAACTGCTAAATCCCTTTTCTCATCAACAGTATCTAGCATTATTGTGACTTCTTACATTCTGCATTCTTGCAGCCATTGAGAAATACTGAGTGAGCTGTGATTGGTCACAGCTTGTCACATGGTACAAGGCTGTTGTGAATGGCCCTGTACCATGTGATCTCTGTGATCATTCACAGATTTCACACGTAGTAAGCAATGATGTCAGAAGTGACATCTTGCTTACTACTTTTCATGTGATCACTGATTGCTCAATCAATGATCACGATCGGGACCTCACACAGAGGTCCCATACGACGATCGGTGTTCCTGAGGACACAGCGGGCACCAGATTGCGGTGCTGCGCGCTCCCAGGGAGCGTGCACAAGCAGGGAACGGGGGCCGTTTATATACAATGGCCGGATGGGAAGTGGTTAAACCCCTGAAACGCGTTGGTTGTTTTATTCAGTCGATGAATGATTACATTTTCCTTGGATTCATTTTCGGTCTGGCATTCTTCAGACCATCTTTCTCTTCCAGGTTTTTTTTATAATGTTTACTGGGCCCCCATTGGGGGTAATAGCCCATCACTTCCTGCCCCGTGAAGGTGGGAGAAGACCTTCCTAATGGGGATACAGACACCACTAAACACCTAACAAAGGGTTTTACGCTTTCCAGTTCTAAACACTTTATTTGTATCCTAGGTTACCTATGATGTTTTTGGATGGTCATTTGAGGATCAGCAGATACCATCAATGTAGGCAGGACTTGGAGGATTTGGGTTTGTACCTGTTTTTAATCCTCTAATAGGGAAAGTATTTTGAGCTAAAAAGTTGGGGTCGCTGAACATGTCCTCTTCGTACACGGCAAACCTCAGGAAAGCCAAGTTTGGTTCACGGATCTCGAACATGGCCTGCTGCTGAACGGAGGTCCACACGGGGTTTCAGGCCATTATCATCTGAAAAGAGACAGAAGAATGCAATATTAATTGCTGGAAAGTGTTGGAGGAGACAAATCAACTCTAATTCGAGGCGTAACCGCAGCTAAAACTTAAGAAGCAGAATGAAAAACAACAATAAATTGCGCAAACACCTGGGCAAAAAGTACCGCATCTAAAATCTACCCAACGTGATGTAGGCAATCGTTGCTCCTCTGGCAGGACGAATGAGGGAACCAACTGAAAAAAAAGAAAGGTGTGGAAGGAGGAAAGGGGGGAGTGGAGGGGAAGACAAGGGCACTACATATTCCCTCCATTAATTTGGGGCCAAAAGTACGCCCGCATGTCAATGAGTAGCTCTACAATGAAGGCAGTGAACAGTTTGGCTGATGCTAACCAGTGTGTGTCCCTAATTCCAGCCACACTGCTGCCTGTCCGGACTCTTCATTCATCAGGAACGTGCTAGGTGTCTACAGTATGGAAGTGACCTGATCCTCTGAACCAACAGGAACTTTACTTTCTTTGACATTCATGATATGCAACGGAAAACTTCCCACTGAATACATTCTCATCCTCTGTGCAACAACGTAGGCTGAACAGCCAACATCTCTGTGGTGGACTGAAGACAGGTGAGGTAGGTTCATGGTGGATATTCCCTCCATTAATTCAGGGCCAAAGGTAACCCGGCATGTCAGTGAGTGACTCTACAATGAAGGCAGTGAACAGTTTGGTCTCCACTGATGCTAACCAGTGCGTGTCCCTAATTCCAGCCACACTGCTGCCTGTCCGGACTCTTCATTCATCAGGAACGTGCTAGGTGTCTACACTATGGAAGTGACCTGATCCTCTGAACCAAGAAGAACTTTACTTTCTTTGACATTCATGATAAAGCTATGAGACGGCAAACTTCCCACTGAATACATTCTTATCCTCTGTGCAACAAGGTAGGCTGAACAGCCAACCTATCTGTGGGGGACTGAAGACTGGTGAGGTGGGTTCATGGTGAATTGTCCAGCCTGATACAGACCTCGCCTCTCTGTATTACAACTACAGACTAGAACAGGGGTCTGCAAACTTTCAAAACAAAGGACCAGTTTACTATCCTTCAGACTTTTTGAGGTTCGGGACTGTGGCCAGTGGGAGTAGAAAATGCCCCAGCGTCAGTGGGAGTAGACAATGCTTTAGGCTTGGTGGTCAGCAGGAGGAAAAAAAACAGCGCCTGTGGTCAGTAGGAGGAGGAATATTGTCCCATTGTTGGGGGCGGGAGAAATCGGGCCTCATTGTTGGTGTCAGTTGCAGGTATTATGTCCCACTGTTGGTGTCAGTGGAATAATTGGTGCCTGGTGTCAGTGGGAGGAACAGTGCCCAAGAGACGGAAAATGGTAAGCAAAGGGCCTAATCCAGCCCACGGACTGCAGTTTGGAGACCAATGGATTAGAAGATGGTGCAAGGAGGAAATAAGAAGCCAAAGGATTAAACTAGGATTGTGGGAATCTGCAAGCTGGCCTGGTCTACCAACCTTTCCACAGAAAAAGGGCCTTTGGCATTAACTGACCTAAATATTTCAGTCCAGAGAGCTGTATCACCAAAAGGAGTCTTTTGTGATAGAAATATGGGAGCAGCTATTTCTGACTTGCTTTAAAATGGAAATCCTTCACTACTTGGCAAGCAGGCAAGCTTTGGGTCATCTAACTACCAATTAGTGAAGCAAGAAGAGCCCCTGAACCCAAAATATTGGTAGCTTGAACACAGGAAAAATTACTTCCTGAAAGTCCACAAATAGGTTCAGAGCAGAGGGATGCAGATCTGTGAAGGGCACAAACCTTGCACATTAGAATTGAATTTTAATAAAAACCTAAAAAACACTTACAGTAAAGTAACCGTTCAATGACACATCAAAGGCAATCAGTGGAGGTGGCAACAAGTTCAACCATCCCTGGCCAGTGGCGGGGCTGAAGGATAGAAGTGTCAGCTGACAAATAGCATATACAGTATGGGATCTGCCCAGAGTTGGTTAGCAGTAGCCTGGGTGGCCTTGGGGAGAGGTTTTTCAGGGTTCTACCCCTTTCTTGAGTCAGTGAGGGCATCTTCGGCTTCCTATGTGCCTCAAGAAGAGAAGGGCTTCCTGGAAACTTTGCTTGGTGATGTGTTTGGAAGATTTACTCCTTTCTTAAGCCTGTGAGGACATCCTCCTTTTCCTGGGTGGCCTCAGTGAGAGAAGTGCTTTCTGGAAACTTTGCTAGGTTATGCGTTTCAGGATTCTACCCCTTTCTCAAGCCTGTGAGGGCATCTTCATTTTCCTGGGTGACCTCAGGGAGAGAAGTGCTTTCTGGAATCTTTGTTTGGTGATGCGTTTCAGGGCTCTACCCCTTTCTCAAGCCTATGAGGACATCAACAGTTTACAGGGTGGCCTCTGGAAGAGAAGTGCTTCCTGAAAACTTTGCTTGGTGATGCGTTTTGGAGTTCTACCCCTTTTTTTAAGCCTGCGAGGGCATCCTTGGCTTCCTGAGTGGCCTCGGGGAGAAAAGTGCTTCATGGATACTTTGCTTGAATATGTGTTTCAGAGCTCTACTCCTTTCTCAAGCATGTGAGGACATCCTCCTTTTCCTAGGTGGCCTCAGTTAGAGAAGTGCTTTCTGGAATCTTTGCTTGGTGATGTGTTTCAGGACTCTACCCCTTTCCCAACCCTATGAGGGCATCCTTTGTTTACACGGTTGCCTCTGGGAAAGAAGTTCTTCCTGAAAACTTTGCTTGGTGATGTGTTTTGAGGCTATACCCCTTTCTCAAGCCTGTAAGGGTTACCTTGGTTTACTGTGTTTCCTGTAAAGTTTGCTTGGTGATGCATTTTGGGGTTCTACCCCTTTCTCAAGCCTATGAGGGCATCCTCGTTTTCCTGGGTGCCCACAGGGAGGGAAGTGCTTCCTGTATATTTTGCTCTGTGATGCGTTTCAGGGCTCTAACGCTTTCTCAAGCCTTTAAGGGCATCCTTGATTTCCTGGGAGACCTTGAGGAGTGAAGTGCTTCCTAGAAACTTTGGTGATGAATCTCGGGGCTCCTCCCCTTTCTGAAGCCTGTGAGAACATCTTCAGTTTCCTGGATAACCTCAAGGAGAGAAGTGCTTCCTGGAAACTTTGGTGATGAGTCTTGGGGCTCTACCCCTTTCTCAAGCCTATGAGAACATCTTCAGCTTCCTGGATGACCTCAAGGTGAGAAGTGCTTCCTGGAAACTTTGCTTGGTGATATGTTTTGGGGCTCTACCCCTTTCTCAAGTCTGTGAGGTTTGGACAAGGGGTAGAGTCCTGAACGCTGTGCAGAAGCACTTCTCTCCCTAAGGCCGACCAGACAATCTTGTCAAATATGAACTATGATAGCTACCGCCCATCTTTGGCTGATGCTTCTATCCTCGAATCCCACCGCTGGCCAGGAAATGTTGGGCTTAATGCTGTTGCTGCATCCACAGATTACCTGTGATGGGAGTCTCTTTGGGTGGGGGGGGCTCATGGAACCCAGCTCACTTTGAAAAAGTGGGGACCCCTGTCTCAGCTCCTTATATCCCTCTTATGTGTAAGTCACCCTGTGCCTGTTAGGGGTACAGGGTGATCTGTCCTAATATTGGGGTGGGGGGGTTGTTGATTGTTTAATGCCATGTGGTTGCATCCCATTGTTCTGTTGTGTGTCTTGCTTGGGAGCAAACTATTATGGCATGTAGGTGTTTGTGTATTAGCTTGGTGGGGGGTGTTTCCACCAGCCCTCCCTCCTGATGGGACTGTCTTCTGGTGTGTCTCTTGTTACTAAATGTAGATTGCCCCGCCCTATGTCATTATGTAGGGAGGGGGGATTGTCCCCTTGAGTGTATATATCTTGTATCTGTGTTAAAATAAAGTAGTCTATTTCCTGGTTTACTTCAAGACTGGTGTCGTCTAGTCTTGTATGGTCAGCGGTGGTGTCCGTGGTCGGTGTTCGGACGGGAAAGCGGTATTATAATGGAAGTACCCAAGCGCAGACTGGGTCGGTTCCGTTACAGACAGATTACTGTAAGTGTTTTAGCTTTCAATATTGAAATCTACGTTAATTGTGAAAGTTTTGCACCCTCTGATCTTTTTCTGTATAGGAAAGAAATCCTGGCAATGGCGTTTCCATATTGGTTTTAGAGAAGGAAGATTGGGCCGTACAGTGTGTAGAGGGGAGATATTTGTCGTTGTACATTTAGTCCTTGTCATGTCATCTGCTGTAATTGTGAAGTCTAATACTTACTGACGACGCTGGTCCTGAACTTATTATTATCGTATTCTCCTCCACAAACCTCCAACTCCACGAAAGGACAGGCGATACCCCGGCCAGGCTTCGGCAAATGACGGGCACCTATAACCTGGAATACCAAATCCGATTCTTTGTTACCCCCACAGACAACATTCTATATCATGCTATTCAGTGGCGTCCCTAGGCAGGTGCGGGGGGTGCGCGCTGCACTGGGAGACACCTACCGCACTGGGAGACACCTACCGCACTGGGTGACACCGGACCCGCTCCACGAAAAGGTAAGTTGTAAAGCAAGCCGACGATCCCCGCAGCATGGATGGGATCTGTGGATTGAGCATAATGGATGGGAGTCTGGTCCATTATGCGCCCCAGTCTGCAGATCTAATCCATTCTGCGGGGATCGTCGGCATGCAACCTATACTGGGGGGGGATGCGAAAAGGTAAGTTTAAAGAAAGCTATCCCCGCAGGATGGATGGGATCTGTGGATTGGGGAGCATAATGGATGGGAGTCTGGTCCATTTGCGCCCCAGTCTGCAGATCTAATCCATTCTGCGGGATCGTCGGCTTGCTTTACAACTTACCTTTTCGTGGAGCGGGTCCGTGTCACCCCGTATAGGTTGCATGCTGACGATTCCCGCAGGATGGATCGGATCTGCGGATTGGGGAGCATAATGGACCAGACTCCGATCCATTATGCTCAATCCGCAGATCCGATCCATTCTGCGGGGTTCGTCGGAGGGGATGTCACCAAGTATTATCGCACCGGGTGACACCAACCCTAGGGACGCCCCTGCCAAACAGCGATATGGATGGATTGGATCTGCGGATTGGGGAGCATAATGGACCAGACTCTGATCCATTATGCTCAATCCGCAGATCCCATCCATCCTGTGGGGATCGTCGGCATGCAACCTATACTGGGGGGGATCGGACCCGCTCCACGAAAAGGTAAGTTGTAAAGAAAGCTGACGATCCCCGCAGGATGGATGGGATCTGTGGATTGGGGAGCATAATGGATGGGAGTCCGGTCCATTATGCTCCCCAATCCGCAGATCCCATCCATTCTTTGGGGATCGTCGGCTTGCTTTACAACTTACCTTTTCATGGAGCGGGTCCGGTGTCACCCCGTATAGGTTGCATGCCGACAATCCCCGCAGGATGGATCGGATCTGCAGATTGGGGAGCATAATGGATCAGAGTCGGGTCCATTATCTCCCCAATCCGCAGATTTGATCCATTCTGCGGGGTTCATCGGAGGGGGTGTCACCAAGTATTACCGCACCGGGTGACACCCACCCTAGGGACGCCCCTGCCAAACAGCGATATGGATGGATTGGATCTGCGGATTGGGGAGATAATGGACCAGACTCCGATCCATTATGCTCAATCCGCAGATCCGATCCATCCTGCGGGGATCGTCGGCATGCAACCTATACAGGGTGACACTGGACCCGCTCCACAAAAAGGTAAGTTGTAAAGCAAGCCGACAAACCCCGCAGGATGGATCGGATCTGCGGATTGAGCATAATGGATCGGAGTCTGGTCCATTATGCTCCCCAATCCGCAGATCCGATCCATTCTGCGGGGTCGTCGGAGGGGGTGTCACCAAGTGTTATCGCACCGGGTGACACCCACCCTAGGGACGCCCCTGATGCTATTTAATGTTCCCAATCAGGCTTGGATTTTACAACATAACTGCTTTGGCCATCATAAGAAATTATCCTTTAAAGGATATCTAAAACCAAGGACAAAAATATCATCTATTGTGCCCCACCAGTCCTTAGATGCGGTGTCTGCATTCGTTTTCTTTTCTCAAAGGAAGAACATTTGCAGCAAGTACAGAAAATACTGTTGATCCTGCCAAAAATATCATTTTCCATTCAATTGAACTGCTATATTAAACACGGTTACCTTCATTTCTAAGCTATCAGCTGTAAAAAGCAGCCTCAATCCTCCTCTTCTGGGGTCCCCCGATGGCTTTCTGGCCCCTCCTCCCGCCGAGTGCTTCCAAGCTGCCTCTTTTTGCCCGTCCCCCGGCTCCCTCCTCATTGGCTGTGATTGACAGCAGCGGGAGAAATAGACCAACGCAGTTCCGGCACCTCCAGCACTGAATGTGTGTAATGGCAAGGGGTGCTGTAGGATCTATTGTTGCTGGCTGCTGGGGGATCTATTGTCACTGAGGTGATTATTTTTGTGTGGTGGTCTATTGTTGCTGGTGGGGGATCTATTGTTGATGGGGTTCAATTGTTGCTGGAAGGGATCTACTGCTAAGGGGAGGGGCGGTATATTGTCTATTGTTGCTGGCTGCTGGAGAGTCCATTGATGCTGGTTGCTGGGAGATCTGTTGTACCTACTGGGGGTCTATTTTTGCTGCGGTAGCATTTTGTTTTGGGGGTCCACTGTTGCTGGAGGAATCTATTGCAGCTGGGGGGGGGAGTTGTTGTTCTGGGGGCGGGGGCTATTGTTGCTCACTGTAGGGGATCTATTTTTTTTGCTTTTCTTGATAGCATTAGCAAATTCCATACCAATTATTCACCAAAAATGGAAATTGAGTGGGGGGGTGTGGAGACATAGTGACTCAGAAGGGGGGGCGGTTCCTGCACCTACTTTTTGAGAAAAAAAGCCCTGAAGACCGGGCTCAGGTAAGTATAAGGGGGGGAGGGGCTGGGGGGGGGTAGCTACTCACTGAGCCCAGGGTCACCCTATGTGGTGCGGGACACTGATTGTAATTTGCACAGGAATTGCACCGCATTACATGCAAACATCAGTGCGGTGCGATTTGATCCGTACATTTTGTATGGCTCAAGTCGCATTGCATCCGCACCAAAAAGGTGCAGGCACAGGGGCGGACTGACAACTCATGGGGCCCCCAGGCAATAGGGGATCATGGGGCCCCTGTGTCATTGCCCACACTCAAAGCACACCCAAAAAAGCCTATAAAAAAAAGGTACCAGGGGCATTTCATGGGGCCCCCTACTGACCCCGGGCCCTTGGGCAGTGCCCGAGTCCTCGAATGGTCAGTCCGCCCCTGTGCAGGACCCTTTTTTAAATCCGTGCCTGAATCGCATCGCATGGGTGTTCTCAACCATGCAGTGCGATTTCTGGCAATCACATCGCTTTTTACAATCTGTTTCGGGGTGTCCTTAATTTATCGTTGACACCCGCACCAGACCGCATGAACGCGATGCGATTGCAATGCGGTGCTGAGAACGCACAGGTTTCGCAGCGTTTCCCCCACCGCATTGGTGTGAACCGGGTCTGAAGGTGTTTTTTTTTTTTTCCTTCATGCACAGAATGCATTTATAACCACTTAGAAAAAAAAGTTGCTTTTTTTTTTTTCTAACGTCATGTGATCAGCAATGACAAGGTGGTCACATGGCTTTGTTCATAAACAAAGCCAGGTTGGTGAATGATGCCACTTTATTTATTTTTTAATAAACGTTTCTACATTTTTAGCCACACGTGTTACAGACGGCGACATCTGAAACCAAAAAGTCACGTGATCCTTTACTCCAGCCTGGACGCACCCACCGTCACCTACCTTAATGGTCAGCACCATCTGTCCAATCCTCCGGGAGTCACTCGGGTCAAAGGAATCCTGCCTCATACACTCCGGCTGCAAGATGTACCCGCAGCGCCCATTGAAGGAGAACAAGGCTTGGTTTATCTGCATGTACCGGTCTGTGACAACAACAACAAACGGACATATTATTATGGGGTTGCAAAAGTTTCTGCGAAACAGAATGAGGCGATTAGTCGCATTCAACTGGACTTCTTCTGTAACATTTTGTAGCTTCTCCAAGACGCTCCTCCTGTTCTAATGAGTGTCAGGAACCCCCCCCCCCCCCCACCACCACCATTTATATCCGCACAGGTAGCTCAGACTCCTTAGTCCCCGGTCACACCGGTGTGACTTGTCATGCGATTTGATCGTTTCACATCTTACAAGTCGCACCCAATTGGCCGCAATGGAAGCAGTTATGTCGGTGCAATCCCGACTCCAATTTTGAAAGTACTTCATGCATTATTTTTTGCAAGTTCAGGTGTGAAGTCGCACAGATGTCTTCTAAGTCGCACCTGAAGTTGGACTGACATCCGACTCTGAATTCAAGTGAAGTCGCACGATTTCAGAGTCGGATTTGGGTGTGACCGATGCCTTCATCGAAACAGCTTGGAATGTGTCAAGGGGCGTATTTGCGGCATTTTTCAGGGGGGCGGAAGAAGGGACGCTGGTTCTCCTGGGTGGCAGAGCGGATTGAGGGGATCATTGCCCCCCAGAAGAAGGGACGCTGGTTCTCCTGGGCGGCAGAGCGGAGTGAGGGGAGCGCTGCCCCCCAGGAAGAAAGAATGCTGGTTCTCCTGGGCAGCAGAGCAGATTGAGGGGAGTGCTGCCCCCCAGAAGAAGGACTGCTGGTTCCCCTGGAGGGGGCGGAGCGGAGTGAGGGGAGCGCTGCACTGCGCCCCAGAAAAGAGGAGAGGCTGGTTCTCCTGGGTGGCAGAGTGGAGTGAGGGGAGAGCGCTGCCCCCCGGAAGAAAAGGGACGCTGGTTCTCCTGGGTGGCAGAGTGGAGTGAGGGGAGCGCTGCCCCCCGGAAGAAGGGACGCTGGTTCTCCTGGGTGGTGGAGTGGAGTGAGGGGTGCACTGCCCCCGGAAGAGGGACGCTGGGTGCACTGCCCCCAGAAAGAGGAGAGGCTGGTTCTCCTGGGTGGCAGAGTGGAGTGAGGGGAGCGCTGTCCCCCGGAAGAAGGGACGCTGGTTCTCCTGGGTGGTGGAGTGGAGTGAGGGGTGCACTGCCCCAGAAAGAGGAGGGATGCTGGTTCTCCTGGAGTGGCGGTGAGGGGTGCAGAGTGCTGGGGGATGGCGGAGCAGAGTGAGGGGAGCGCTGCCCCCAGAAAGAGGAGAGGCTGGTTCTCCTGGGTGGCAGAGTGGAGTGAGGGGAGCACTGCCCCCCGGGAGAAGGGACGCTGGTTCTCCTGGGTGGTGGAGTGGAGTGTGGGGTGCACTGCCCCCGGAAGAAGGGACGCTGGTTCTCCTGGGTGGTGGAGTGAGGGGTGCACTGCCCCCAGAAAAAGGGATGCTGGTTCTAGGCAGCAGAGCGGAGTGAGGGGAGCGTGGGAGCAGCTGTAAGACTTTGGGAAGGGAGTCGCTGCAATGGTGAGGCCCTCTCCAGGAATGCTGGGGGGGGGGGTCACGGGGGGGGGCCGGTGTGTGTGTGGGGGGGGGGTTGCAGGTGGGGGATGGCAGGGGGGTGACAGATTTTTTGTGTTGCCTAGGGCAGCACAAATTTTAAATACCCTCCTGTCAAGGCGGATGTTGATTGAACAGGATGGGAAGGTGTGACAGTTGTGGAAACTGCAAGAGAGTAACAAGACAGGGGGCGCCACCATCTAAGTGCTGCACTTTATTAAAGCGAAGGCAGGTCAGGTAGATAGGAATTTATTTCATAGAAAACGCTTACCTGGTGTCTGGTAGTTCAGAGCCACCATCTGGACACCGCACAGCCAGAGTCGCAGCGGATCGTAGTTGGAGGAGTCCACCCGCGGCCCCTTGGGATAGACGCGAGTGAGCGCCCTACGATTATATTTCAGCAGGTCAACCGGCTTCGTCCTAGAAAGGCTCTCCAATTTGTTCTCCACAAACGATCGGATTTCTCGGAAGTCCGGCCTCTCTGCGTATAGAATCAAATGGGTCGGTCATATAATTAGGCGTTCAACTGTCTTCGGGTTCAATTCCAAAGAGAACGCACCAGGATGGGAATACTTCACTGATGGAAAGTGACAGTTATTTGCAGTCCAATACAATTCTGGTCACATGGCTACATTGGAGAGCCATACCCTTGTGTTGGAGCCCAACTCCAGCCACAAGGCAAACACCCTCTGTAGTGGGGACCTCCCCTCTGTAGTGCCGCCACCCTCTGTAGTGGGGCCCCCCTTCTTCTGTAGTGCCCCTCCCTCTGTAGTGCCCCCCCTCTGTAGTGGGGCCCCCACATGGCAACAGTTAAATGCTCATCAAGTCCTTAGGGTTGCAAAGTAGACTGTATTACTTCCCTCTTCTCTTTGCCCCAGCAGGGACCCCCCATAGGCATGACTGGTCTGCTACAGTCTCCTGTCTAAGCTGCTCTCAGCTTTAGAGCTGTCTTAATGCATGGGCACTCCTGGGCACTGCTCAGGCACCCCAGGTGCATTGGGGGCCCCATGATAATCTTGTATTACATCATACTTTCTAACTGTCCCGGATTTGTAGGGACAGTCACACTTTTTACTAAACTGTCCCAGGATGGTCTGAGCAGCATCCAAGAACCTGTACTGTGCCCTCCTGATCCCTGTATTGTGCCCTCCTGATCCCTGTACTGTGCCCTCCTGATCCCTGTATTGTGCCCTCCTGACTCCCCCTGTACTGTGCCCTCCTGATCCCTGTACTGTGCCCTCCTGATCCCTGTACTGTGCCCTCCTGATCCCTGTACTGTGCCCTCCTGATCCCTGTACTGTGCCCTCCTGATCCCTGTATTGTGCCCTCCTGACTCCCCCTGTATTGTGCCCTCCTGATCCCAGTATTGTGCCTTCCTGACTCCCCCTGTACTGTGCCCTCCTGACTCCCCCTGTACTGTGCCCTCCTGTTCCCAGTACTGTGCCCTCCTGTTCCCAGTATTGTGCCCTCCTGTTCCCAGTATTGTGCCCTCCTGATCCCAGTATTGTGCCCTCCTGACTCCCCCTGTTCTGTGCCCTCCTGACTCCCCCTGTATTGTGCCCTCCTGATCCCAGTACTGTGCCCTCCTGATCCCTGTGCCCTCCTTAGTACTGTGCCCTCCTGATCCCAGTACTGTGCCCTCCTGATCCCACTATTGTGCCCTCCTGATCCCAGTACTGTGCCCACCTGACTGTCCCCCTGACTCCCCCTGTACTGTGCCCTCCTGATCCCTGTACTGTGCCCTCCTGATCCCAGTACTGTGCCCTCCTGATCCCCCAGTATTGTGCCCTCCTGATTCCAGTACTGTGCCCTCCTAATCCCAGTAATTTGCCCACCTGACTCCCCCTGTACTGTGCCCTCCTGATCCCAGTATTGTGCCCTCCTGATCCCCCTGTGCTGTGCCCTCCTGATCCCTGTATTGTGCCCTCCTGATCCCAGTATTGTGCCCTCCTGATCCCAGTACTGTGCCCACCTGATCCCTTGTACTGTGCCCTCCTGATCCCTGTACTGTGCCCTCCTGATCCCTGTACTGTGCCCTCCTGATCCCTGTACTGTGCCCTCCTGATCCCAGTATTGTGCCCTCCTGATCCCAGTAATGTGCCCTCCTAATCCCCCAGAAATTTGCCCACCTGACTCCCCCTGTATTGTGCCCTCCTGATCCCAGTAATGTGCCCTCCTGATCCCAGTAATGTGCCCACCTGACACCCCCTGTACTGTGCCCTCCTGATCCCAGTATTGTGCCCTCCTGATCCAGTTAGTGCTTTTGGCTACACCGTGCCCCCCCCCCCCCCCCCCCCCCCATCAAGCAGCCTTGACACCATCCAATCCAATATGCGCATAAAAAGAAAAGCCAATAGTGTGACACCGCATTAAAAATCTATTCAATGAAAGTTAATAAAAAATCTCATTCCAGAGACAACGGAGACACACGCTTTTGGTCTGATGTAATTCCCAGTCGAGCGTGGTGACGTCACGACGTTCTGCTCCGCCCTAAGCGTTTCATAGGAGGCCTTTTTTTTTTGCTTTTTTTTTTGATAGGCGGCTGTACAAATTTCATTAAAAAAAATTGCAACGGCCACCATTTTATTTTCTAGGGAATATTTTTGATAAATGTCCGTACTGTTTATTAGTGATGGTTTCCAGTGTAGGAGGAGAGGACGCCTCCAACCATTGGAGACATACTTCCTGCCTCACAAAAGTTCTGGTCATGCGGGGTGACGTCGCGGCGTACCGCTCCACCCTAAGTGTTTCGTCATAAATGACATTTTTTTTTCTTTGTTTGATAAATTTCACGTGACAAAAATTGCAACGGCCACCATTTTATTCTCCAGGGAATCTGCTTACAGAAAAAGTATAATGTTTTGGGGGGTTCTAATTAATTTTTAGCAATTATGAAAATAAATTTTGCAAAATTCTGAATTTAAAATGTGTGTGAAAATTTTTTAAAAAATGTCCCAGACAGGAAGTGGTTAATATCTGCTTGGTCTTCGGCTTTTCAAGTTAAAATGAATATCCGTTTGGGGAATATTTTTGATAAATGTCCGTATTGTTTATTAGTGATGGTTTCCAGTGTAGGAGGAGAGGACGCCCCCAACCAATGGAGACACAAAGACACACTTCCTGTCTGACAAAAGTTCATGTCATGCGGGGTGACGTCACGGCGTACCGCTCCGCCCTAAGCGTTTCGTCATAAATGACGTCATCGGGGGATTTTTATTTTTGCTTTTATAAACGGCTGCACAAATTTCACATGACATTAAAAAAATTGCAAGGGCCACCATTTTATTCTTCAGGGAATCTGCTTACAGAAAAAGGGGTTATAAACGGCTTTTGGGGGTTCTCAGTCGTATCTGCTTACAGAAAAAAGGGGTTTTTTGGCAATGATGAAAATAAATTTAACAAAATTCTGAATTTAAAATGTGTGTGAAAATTTTTTTTTAAATGTCCCGGACAGGAAGTGGTTAATATCTGCTCGGTGTCCGGCTTTTCAAGTTAAAATGAATATCCGTTTGGGGAATATTTTTGATAAATGTCTGTACTGTTTATTAGTGATGGTTTCCGGTGTAGGAGGAGAGGACGCCCCCAACCAATGGAGACACAAAGACACACTTCCTGTCTGACAAAAGTTCATGTCATGCGGGGTGACGTCACGGCGTACCGCTCCGCCCTAAGCGTTTCGTCATAAATGACGTCATCGGGGGATTTTATTTTTGCTTTTTGCTTTTATAAAACGGCTGCACAAATTTCACATGACATTAAAAAAATTGCAAGGGCCACCATTTTATTCTTCAGGGAATCTGCTTACAGAAAAAGGGGTTCTTTGGGGTTCTCAGTCGTTTTTGGCAATGATGAAAATAAATTTGGCAAAATTCTGAATTTAAAATGTGTGTGAAAATTTTTTTAAAAATGTCCCGGACAGGAAGTGGTTAATATCTGCTTGGTGTCCGGCTTTTCAAGTTAAAATGAATATCCGTTTGGGGAATATTTTGATAAATGTCCGTATTGTATATTAGTGATGGTTTCCGGTGTAGGAGGAGCGGACGCCCCCAACCAATGTCACGTACACCTTCAGGTACCAGTCACCTTCATCTGTTCCTACGTGAACTTTATTAATTACCATCCCCCAGATCCCTCATTAGCCGACGCTTACAATAATTGCAGAATTAAATGAGTTATTTTAATTGGGTTCGGCTGGTGGAGGGCGAAGCAGAATATATTTGTATCGGGAGGGAAACAAATTCCGTCACATTGTCACCGAGAAATACCTTCCTCTCCAGAAACATTTAAAGCCGCGATCCTTCATCCGGCGTCCTTTACAAAGGCGAGTCCCTGACAGCCGCGGATCGCTCCTCGTAACCATCGAGTCACCATCAGTAAGAGAAGCCATTCTCTTGTCTTGTTTTATACTTTTGTCAATTCGAATTTGGGTGAATTTCTCGTTATGCGGATGTCTCATGATTTCCAAATGCGGGGTCCGGGGAGAGCGGATATAGTGAATGCGGGGTCCGGGGAGAGAGGATATAGTGAATGCGGGGTCCGGGGAGAGCGGATATAGTGAATGCGGGGTCCGGGGAGAGCGGATATAGTGAATGCGGGGTCTAAGGAGAGCGGATATAGTGAATGCGGGGTCCGGGGAGAGAGGATATAGCGAATGTGGGGTCCGGGGAGAGAGGATATAGTGAATGCGGGGTCCGGGGAGAGAGGATATAGTGAATGCGGGGTCCGGGGAGAGAGGATATAGCGAATGTGGGGTCCGGGGAGAGCGGATATAGTGAAAATGCGGGGTCCGGGGAGAGCGGATATAGTGAATGCGGGGTCCGGGGAGAGCGGATATAGTGAATGCGGGGTCCGGGGAGAGCGGATATAGTGAATGCGGGGTCCGGGGAGAGCGGATACAGTGAATGCGGGGTCGGGGGAGAGCGGATATAGTGAATGCGGGGTCCGGGGAGAGCGGATATAGTGAATGCGGGGTCCGGGGAGAGAGGATATAGTGAATGCGAATGCGGGTCCCGGGGGAGAGCAGATACAGAGAGATGCGGGGTCCGGGGAGAGCGGATATAGTGAATGCGGGGTCCGGGGGAGAGCGGATATAGTGAATGCATTGTCCGGGGAATGCGTCGGGTCCGGGGAGAGCGGATATAGTGAATGCGGGGTCCGGGGAGAGCGGATATAGTGAATGCGGGGTCCGGGGAGAGCGGATATAGTGATGCATTGTCCGGGGGGGGGATATCCGGGGAGAGCGGATATAGTGAATGCGGGGTCGGGAAGAGTGGATATAGTGAATGCGGGGTCCGGGGAGAGCGGATATAGTGAATGCGGGGTCCGGGGAGAGCGGATATAGTGAATGCGGGGTCCGGGGATGAGCCGGGGGAGCGGATATAGTGAATGCGGGGTCCGGGGAGAGCGGATATAGTCAATTCGGGGTCTGGGGAGAGCGGATATAGTGAATGCAGGGTCCGGGGAGGGTGGATATAATGAATGCGGGGTCCGGGGGAGAGCGGATATAGTGAATGCGGGGTCTGGGGAGAGAGCGGATATAGTGAACGCGGTGTCCGGGGAGAGAGGATATAGCGAATGGCGGGGTCCGGGGGAGAGAGGATATAGTGAATGCGGGGTCCGGGGAGAGCAGATATAGTGAATGCGGGGTCCGGGGAGAGCGGATATAGTGAATGCGGGAGTCGGGGAGAGCGGATATAGTGAATGCGGGGTCCGGGGAGAGCGGATATAGTGAATGCGGGGTCCGGGGAGAGCGGATATAGTGAATGCGGGGTCCGGGGAGAGCAGATACAGTGAATGCGGGGTCCGGGGAGAGCGGATATAGTGAATGCGGGGTCCGGGGGAGAGCGGATATAGTGAATGCGGGGTCCGGGGAGAGCGGATATAGTCAATGCGGGGTCCGGGGAGAGCGGATATAGTGAATGCGGGGTCCGGGGAGAGCGGATATAGTGAATGCGGGGTCCGGGGAGAGCGGATATAGTGAATGCGGGGTCCGGGGAGAGCGGATATAGTGAATGCTGGGTCCGGGGAGAGCTGATATAGTGAATGCATTGTCCGGGGGGAGCGGATATAGTGAATGCGGGGTCCGGGGAGAGCGGATATAGTGAATGCGGGGTCAGGGGAAAGCGGATATAGTGAATGCGGGGTCCGGGAAGAGTGGATATAGTGAATGCGGGGGTCCGGGGAGAGCGGATATAGTGAATGCGTGGTCCGGGAGAGCGGATATAGTGAATGTGGGGTCCGGGGAAACCAGATATAGTGAATGCGGGGTCCGAGGAGAGCGGATATACTGAATTCGGGGTCCGGGGAGAGCGGATATAGTGAATGCAGGGTCCGGGGAGGGTGGATATAATGAATGCGGGGTCCGGGGAGAGCGGATATAGTGAATGCGGGGTCCGGGGAGAGCGGATATAGTGAATGCAGGGTCCGGGGAGGGTGGATATAGTGAATGCGGGGTCCGGAGGGAGCAGATATAGTGAATGCGGGGGTCCGGGGAGAGCGGATATAATGAATGCGGGGTCCGGGGAGAGCGGATATAGTGAATGCGGGGTCCGGGGAGAGCGGATATAGTGAATGCAGGGTCCGGGAGGGTGGATATAGTGAATGCGGGATCCGGAGGGAGCAGATATAGTGAATGCGGGGTCCGGGGAGAGCGGATATAATGAATGCGGGGTCTGGGGAGAGCGGATATAGTGAATGCAGGGTCCGGAGAGAGCAGATATAGTGAATACGGGGTCCGGGGAGCGGATATAGTGAATGCGGGGTCCGGGGAGAGCGGATATAGTGAATGCGGGGTCCGGGGAAGCCTTACCTAGGTTGTCTTTGCCTTCACTGGTCGGCTTGCAGTAGATCACAAGGTCGGACAGCTCTCTGGCAATGACCTGATTCTTCTCCCACGTCTTAATGAAGAAGTCCTGGAGGGAGGATCACATGAGACAAATGATGACATATATGGGACACGTTGGAGGAAATTTATCATCGCTTAATTCGCTAATTAGATATAAAAGAACTTAATGTTAGAAGTGAACGATGATGAAACAATGTATCATTGGGGGGGGGCTCCCATCTTCCTCTCGTTTGGTGGAAGAAGGATGGTGGCACCTCCGGGGTTATCAGATCCTGCTGGGAACACCAAGAGATCACACGTGGATGTCTAGTAAACTACGGAGGATTAACAAGAATGCTGGAAATTAGAACATGTTCTGTATCCTTGTTACGTCAGCTGGCAAAGCATGCTGGGACTTTTAGTGACACCAAATTTCAAGGTTATTAATGAAAGGACGGCTAGATGTAAACTGAAATCTGGGTTAAAGGGGAACACAAGCCGAACATTACAGTGTTAAAAAAAAAAGAAAAAAAAAAAAACAGGTCTGTACTCGCCACTTGCCTCCCGGCAAATGACATTCTCCAGTTCCAACCGACAGTAAAAAAAAAAACATGGGTGGCCCTGCCCCTTTGTTTATTTGGTGTCGCTAGGCACCCACCAACTGACAGCTCTGGTACCCAGTGCTGATGGTAAATATAGTGGCGGCCAACATGCCCCTTTGTTTATGCACTGTCGGTGGGAACCGGAGGTGTCACACACGGGGAGGGAAGCAATGAGGGCGGACCTTTTTTTTTTCATGTCGGCGGTGGTGTTCACCGAAATGGACGCTGGATTTACTTCTGGGGGGTGGAGCCATTTTTAAAAAAATAAAGGACTTATTGAAAACGGTCTGTTTTTTTTTTTTTAAAACTGGGGATGTCAGACGCCAGGAGGCAAGCGATGAGTGCGGACATGATTTGTTTTTCAGGTCACTGGTGGTGTGCATCGCAATTGACGCTGGATTTACTTCTGGGGGGGGGGGCATTTTTTTGTTAAATAAATGGCTTATCGAAAACTGTTAGTTTTTTTTTACCCGTAGGGGAACCAGAGGTGTCAGACGCTGGGAGGCAGGCGACAAGTGAAGACCTGTTGTTTTTTTTTTTTTTTCAGGTCAGCAGTAGCGTTTACTGCAATGGACGCTAGATTTACTTCTGGGAGGTGGCGGTATTTTTTTTTTTTCTTTTAATAAAAGACTTACCTCTTTGTTATAATTTTTTAAACCTTTTTGGTGAATGAGTAGGGGTATATTCATTCACATTGGGGGGGGGGGCTGGGATTTGGGGGATTCCAGATTCTGATAAGCCCCCAGCCCGCAGACCCCCACAACCACTGCCCAGGGCTGTGGGGAAGAGACCCTATCAACAAGGGGGTTCTATCATTACTGGGGGATCTTTTGTTTGTGGTGGGGTCTATCATTACTGGGGGATCTATTGTTGCTGGTGGGGTCTATCATTACTGGGGGATCTATTGTTGCTGGTGGGGGTCTATCATTACTAAGGAATCTATTGCTGCTAGCAGGGGTCTATCATTACTGGGGGATCTATTGCTGCTAGCAGGGGTCTATCATTACTGGGTGGGTCTATTGTTGCTGTTGGGGGGTTACCATTACTGGTAGGATCTATTGTTGCTGTTGGGGGGGGTGTTACCATTACTGGGAGGATCTATTGTTGCTGGGGGGGCTATTAAAGCTGGCTGCAGGGAATATTTTACTGTTATCGTTAACACATTCTATGCAAATTACTCCACAAAATGGTTCTGTTCTGTAAAAAGGGGCGGGATTAGGAGGTGGGTGGAGGGTGGGACCAAGGAACAATACCCATAGGCGGGTAGGGGGCGGAGACGGGGGGGACTCAGAAGGGGGAGTAGCGGCACCTACTCTTTGACAAAAGACAACTCTATACCCATCCCTTGCAATAGGTGGCAGTGTTGTCAGCCTGTCATGTGATCTCCTAGGTCAGGGGTCTGCAACCTTTAAGACATAAAGAGCCACTTGGACCCGTTTCCGAGAGGGAAAAAAAGACTGGGAGCCGCAAAACCATTGCAACATTTAAAACAAATCCGACACTGCATATATTGCGAAAAGCGCTCTGGTCATGAAGGGGGTTTAAGGGCCCAGTAAGCAAAGGGTTAACCAGGGCCACAGTGTATCATCATAATCACAATCATAGCCTTAGGTCAGTGGTGGGCAACCTTTTTTTTCAACTGAGCCAAATCTCGCCAAAACCACGATTGAAATTTATTTTGAGAGAAACATTTTTAAAACTGAAAATACATCCCCCATATAGTAATTCATCCCCCATAGTAATTCATCCCCCATATAGTAATTCATCCCCCATATAGTAATTCATCCCCCATATAGTAATTCATCCCCCATAGTAATTCATCCCCCATATAGTAATTCATCCCCCCATAGTAATTCATCCCCCATATAGTAATTCATCCCCCTATAGTAATTCATCCCCCCTATAGTAATTCATCCCCCATATAGTAATTCATCCCCCTATAGTAATTCATCCCCCATATAGTAATTCATCCCCCATAGTAATTCATCCCCCATATAGTAATTCATCCCCCATAGTAATTCATCCCCCATATAGTAATTCATCCCCCCATAGTAATTCATCCCCCATATAGTAATTCATCCCCGATATAGTAATTCATCCCCCATAGTAATTCATCCCCCATATAGTAATTCATCCCCCATAGTAATTCATCCCCCATATAGTAATTCATCCCCCCTATAGTAATTCATCCCCCATAGTAATTCATCCCCCATATAGTAATTCATCCCCCATAGTAATTCATCCCCCATATAGTAATTCATCCCCCATATAGTAATTCATCCCCCATAGTAATTCATCCCCCATATAGTAATTCATCCCCCATAGTAATTAATTCATCCCCCATAGTAATTCATCCCCCATATCGTAATTCATCCCCCATATAGTAATTCATCCCCCATATAGTAATTCATCCCCCATATAGTAATACATCCCCCATATAGTACATCCCCCATATAGTAATACATCCCCCATATAGTAATTCATCCCCCATATAGTAATTCATCCCCCCTATAGTAATTCATCCCCCATATAGTAATACATCCCCCATATAGTAATACATCCCCCATATAGTAATTCATCCCCCATATAGTAATTCATCCCCCATATAGTAATTCATCCCCCATATAGTAATTCATCCCCCCATAGTAATTCATCCCCCATAGTAATTCATCCCCCCTATAGTAATTCATCCCCCCTGTGTCAATTCACTTACCTTTGCTCCGCGCGTTCCTCTAGCTGTGTTCCCGCGCCGTTCTGGTCTTCAGGGCGGACTGTGAGAGGAGAGGAGTTCGTCACGCTGCCCCGCCTACATCCTGACAGCCAATGTTTGGAGGAGGGAGGGGAGCGGGCGCCCGGCACATAGAAGAGCTGCATTAAAAGAGCCGCGGCTTGCCGACCCTATTGCCTGTCACCTGGTGGGCAGTGTGCTCCGGAGCCGCAGGAAAGGTGAAAAAGAGCCGCATGCGGCTCCGGAGCCGCGGGTTGCCGACACCCGTCCTAGGTTCATGGGATCGATTTATTTAAAAAATTGCTGTGCGAATGCCTCACCGTTTATGCAGCCGCTGTGCGTAATCCCCATAATGTGTGTAATACGTGTATTCCCAATGATCATCAGCCCCATCTACTGGCCATAATGTGCTACTCGCCTGATGGAGATATTTCAGGAACATATCGCATTATGTCCACTAGATGGAGCTGATGATCAAACGTGATCAAAGGAAATACATATAATATACACATTATGGGGATTATATGTATCTGCTGGCATTGTCATGTTGTGTGCCCCCCCCAGTCCCGTCAGGAAGACGAACAACCCGCAGGTCGAGTCGGCCAGTAAACATCCCTTCCAATCAGCTCCCACCAGCCGTCCAGCACTCACCTGCGCCCCCTTCTGGTGCACAATGTGGTTGATGTTTTTATACCATTCAAACAATTCCTCCACTTTGTCGGTTGCAAAATCCACAGACGGCTCCTCGGGGTTCCGGGACTCCAGCGACAAGACGAACATTTTGTTGTTCTTCCCATGCGGAAGCTTCTCTGCGGACGAGCAAAAAAAAAGAGATTTATTTTCCTGATCGGCATCCGAATTGCAAAAGCTTCCTAAATCGAGTACATTGGTCAGGCCCCGCCCACACGGGACGGTGAAGGTATCCAGGGGAGGAACATGCAGCTGAAAACACGGCTAAAGCCACGCTCTGCATGTGTGTTTTTTGTGTCATTGCGTGTTGTGTGTTTTTGTGCGTTTGAACGTTATTGCATGTTAGTGCGTTACTGTGTGCTTCCATGTTATTGCGCATCATTGCGTGTTGTGCATTATTGCGTGTTATTGTGGGTCATTGCGTGTTGCGCGTTATTGCAACAAATCGTTGAAAATCTTCACAAGTCACAATAAAGTCTTCAGAATTTGCACACAAATGGCACGATTTTACATGGCAGAGCGATCGGTGACTAAAAGCAGCATTTTTGATGTTCTGTGTGGATGAGGCCCGATGTCTTCATCCTTTTATCTATCTGTGGCTTTTTTTGCAGCAGAAACGCACTTCCTGCACCTCCAACACTGAACGCATTTAATGGCAAGGGTGCTGTGGTGTGCTGGGGGATATATTGTCAATGGGGGAGGGTCCACTGATGATGGGATGGTCCTCGGAGGTGGGTAGGGGGTGGAACCAAGGGACATGCTTAGAGGTGGGTAGGGGGTGGAACCAAGGGACGGTGCTCGGAGGTGGGTAGGGGGTGGAACCAAGGGACGTGCTCGGAGGTGGGTAGGGGGTGAAACCAAGGGACGTGCTCGGAGGTGGGTAGGGGGTGAAACCAAGGGACGGTGCTCGGAGGTGGGTAGGGGGTGGAACCAAGGGACGGTGCTCGGAGGTGGGTAGGGGGTGGAACCAAGGGACGGTGCTCGGAGGTGGGTAGGGGGTGGAACCAAGGGACGGCGCTCGGAGGTGGGTAGGGGGAGGAACCAAGGGACGGCGCTCGGAGGTGGGTAGGGGGAGGAACCAAGGGACGGTGCTCGGAGGTGGGTAGGGGGAGGAACCAAGGGACGGTGCTCGGAGGTGGGTAGAGGGTGGAACCAAGGGACGGTGCTCGGAGGTGGGTAGAGGGTGGAACCAAGGGACGGTGCTCGGAGGTGGGTAGGGGGTGGAACCAAGGGAAGGTGCTCGGAGATGGGTAGGGGGTGAAACCAAGGGACGGTGCTCGGAGGTGGGTAGGGGGTGGAACCAAGGGAAGGTGCTCGGAGATGGGTAGGGGGTGAAACCAAGGGACGTCCTCAGAGGTGGGTAGGGGGTGGAACCAAGGGACGGTGCTCGGAGGCGGGTAGGGGGTGGAACCAGGGGACGGTGCTCAGAGGTGGGTAGGGGGTGGAACCAAGGGAAGGTCCCTGGAGGTGGGTAGGGGGGGTGGAACCAAGGGGTGGTCCTGGGAGGTGGGTAGGGGGCGGAGACAAGGGGTGACAAGGTGAAGAAGCAGAGACAAGTGTCCGGCTATCACCAGGAGGGCGGCGCTGGTACTTACTGATGTCATAGGTGCCCAGATCCAGGATTCCTCGGCACATGGATCCCAGGGGACTGTCCTCAACAATCTGCCAAACAGGAAAATCTCTCAGTGGTCTTGGCATACGAATTTGGTGGCAGATGACACCCCGACCACCACCAGCCCGGCAGAACCCCTCCTGACACCACAGACCACACAATACACGCCAGACTACAGCCGGCCACACACGGGTCCAATTCCGAAAGAATTTTCTTTCAATACCTTTTCTAAGAATTTTCATTCGAATTTCGCACCATTAGTGGGGTCACACCAACGGCCGACTTTCCAACGACCATCGAATTTGAGTGGTCGGGCGTGTTGGAAATTTTCTCAAAAACGAACGAATTTCTAATCAATGGTGGGAGAATCGTGCGAGAAACGGAATTGAGATAGAAATGAGCCGTGAGCTGGAAGAAAAGAAAATTCCTGGCCACAAAAATTCTTTTCTGTAGCAACACGAGGAGACATGAAAGGCTCGGTTGGTCGAATTTTGAATTTAATGGTGGCGCCATTGGATTACAAAACGCACAAAATTTCTGATTTTCTAAAGAAAATTCATTCAGAATTCGACCCGTGTATGGCCGGCATTAAAGGACACATTCCATTGTAGCAAATACAATCTCTTCTCATTTCCTCACACTCGACATGCCGCCTGAAAACCGATTTTAAGGAAAATTGAAGAATCGCTCTGATCCGTCCCGGAAGAATCGCTCTGATCCGTCCCGGAAGAATCGCTCTGATCCGTCCCGGAAGAATCGCCCTGATCTGTCCCGGAAGAATTGGTCTGATCCGTCCCAGAAGAATCGCCCTGATCCCTCCCGGAAGAATCGCTCTGATCCGGCCCGGAAGAATCGCTCTGATCCGTCCCCGAAAAATCGCTCTGATCCGTCCCCCGAAGAATCGCTCTGATCCCTGCCGGAAGAATCGCTCTGATCCGTCCCCGAAGAATCGCTCTGATCCATCCCCGAAGAATCGCTCTGATCCGTCCCGGAAGAATCGCCCTGATCCGTCCCCGAAGAATCGCCCTGATCCGTCCCCGAAGAATCGCTCTGATCCGTCCGGAGGAATCGCTCTGATCCGTCCCGGAGGAATCGCTCTGATCCGTCCTGGAGGAATCGCCCTGATCCGTCCCCGAAGAATCGCTCTGATCCGTCCCCGAAGAATCGCTCTGATCCGTCCCCGAAGAATCGCTCTGATCCGTCCCCGAAGAATCGCTCTGATCCGTCCCCGAAGAATCGTTCTGACCCGTCCCCGAGGAATCGCTCTGATCCGTCCCCGAAGAATCGCTCTGATCCGTCCCGGAGGAATCGCTCTGATCCCCCGGAGGAATCGCTCTGATCCGTCCTGGAAGAATCCCTCTGATCCGTCCCTGGAAGAATCGCTCTGATCCGTCCCCGAAGAATCGCTCTGATCCGTCCCTGATCCGTCCCCCGAAGAATCGCTCTGATCCGTCCCCTGATCGCTCCGTCCCGGAAGAATCGCTCTGATCCGTCCCCGAAGAATCGCTCTGATCCGTCCCCGAAGAATCGCTCTGATCCGTCCCCGAAGAATCGCTCTGATCCGTCCCGGAGGAATCGCTCTGATCCGTCCCGGAGGAATCGCTCTGATCCGTCCCAGAAGAATAACTCTGATCCGTCCCTGAAGAATCGCTCTGATCCGTCCCGAAGAATCGCTCTGATCCGTCCCGGAAATCGCTCTGATCCGTCCCGGAGAATCGCTCTGATCCGTCCTGGAGGAATCGCTCTGATCCGTCCTGGAGGAATCGCTTTGATCCATCCCAGAAGAATAACTCTGATCTGTCTCTGAAGCATTGCTCTGATCCATCCCAGAAAAATCGTTTTGATCCATCCAGAAGAATCACTCTGATCCCCCTCGCCCTGAGAAGAATCGATCCCTCCCAGAAGATCGCTCTGATCCCTCCCAAAAGAATCGCTCTGATCTCACATGTAGGTCAGCCCATTAAAATCAGTGGGCTGCCTTACATGCGATACACGGGAATGCCGAAAAGAAAAAAATGCACCTGTAGGGGGAGCTGTGATTTCATTGCCTGTGTTGCAAAATTTGAAGATTAATTTCTCCAAAATGACTATAGCTACAGAGGTGAATGACAGCTTGTATAAAGCGTCTCCACAGCAGGTCCACGGTTAGGTGTGCGCAGTCTGGCCACAGACCTGACCTGGAACTCTGTACGCAAGTAAAATACATAAAATACGGTACGCGGAACTCTCGTGATTCGCGCCCATTTTTTCCTCTTTGCCTGTCGCTGTGTTACCCAGTTGGCGATAAACTCCTCATTGGTCAGTATGTCCTGCACATAATTGGAGGGGAAGAAGTGCTGCAGTTTATCTCCGTAGTCGCCCTTCCACCTGCATGACAAGGGATACCACGTTACACGTCAATCCCAATGCGATCCCCACGTTCCAATATACTTAGCAATGAATAAAGCCGCTCCTGGTCCTCACCATCCCTCCGTGATCTTCACCACGTTGTGAATGACCGCGCCCGTGCAGAAGCTCAGCTCATCCGGTCTGGTAGCCGAATAGTTGAACAAAGCGATAACGGTCCCTTGCGGCTTGGAAAGAAAGAGAACATAAATGGGTATACTAAAATGGGTGGTCCTGGGAGGTGGGTAGGGGGTGGAACCAAGGGATGGTCCTCGGAGGTCGGTAGGGGGTGGAACCAAGGGATGGTCCTCGGAGGTGGGTAGGGGATGGAACCAAGGGATGGTCCTTGGAGGTCAGTAGGGGGTGGAACCAAGGGATGGTCCTCGGAGGTCAATAGGGGAGGGAACCAAGGGATGGTCCTCTGAGTTAGGTAGGGGGTAGAACCAAGGGATGGTCCTCAGAGCTGGGTAGGGGGTGGAACCAAGGGATGGTCCTTGAGGTGTGTAGGGGTGGAATCAAGGAATGTTCCTCAGAAGTGGGCAGGGGGTGGAACCAAGGGATGGTCCTCAGAAGTGGGTAGGGGGTGGAACCAAGGGATGGTCCTTGGAGGTGGGTAGGGGGTGGAATCAAGGCATGGTCCTGGAGGTAGGTAGGGAGTGGAGCCAAGGGATGATCCTTGGAGGTCGGTAGGGGGTGGAACCAAGGGATGGTCCTCGGAGGTGGGTAGGGGGTGGAACCAAGCGATGGTCCTTGGAGGTGGGTAGAGGGTGGAATCAAGTGATGTCTTCAAATGTGGGTATAGGATGGAACCAAGGGATGGTCCTCGGAGGTGGGTAGTGGGTGGAACCAAGAGATGGTCCTCAGAGGTGGGTAAGGGGTGGAGTCAAGGGATGGTCCCTATAGTAAAGCCCCCCCCCGGGTATATGTAATATTTTAAAAAAGCAGCTCAGACTGCAATACTCGCCTCCTATCTGGAGTCGTCCTCTGCAATCATTTAATTCCACCACTAGATGTCCTCAGTCATCCGGGTTGAGCGTTCCTTTAACCCGGATGACTGAGGACATTTGGTGAGTGCTGAGCATGATGGACCCTCCTCCAGGTCAGGAGGCCAGGTCCATGACATGTATGTGCTGCTACAGGACTCAGAATCCCCCGACCGCAGCTCATTGGTCCAGGAGGGACAGCCCTCCGAGTATGACCAAACCCAAGCTCACCACTAACGCCAAGGATCTTAACCCAGAAGAATGAAACCATCGAGTGGTGGAATGAAATCATTGCAGAGGACAGCACTGATCCGTCCCGGGAGGAATCGCTCTGATCCGTCCCGGAGGAATCGCTCTGATCCGTCCCGGAGGAATCGCTCTGATCCGTCCCGGAGGAATCGCTCTGATCCGTCCCGGAGGAATCGCTCTGATCCATCCCAAAAGAATCGCTGTGGTCTGTCCTGGAGGCACTGCAGTGATCCATCCCGGAGGAATCGCTCTGGTCTGTCCCGGAGGAATCGCTCTAATCCGTCCCGGAAGAATTGCTCTGATCCGTCCCGGAGGAATCGCTCTGATCCGTCCCGGAGGAATCGCTCTGATCCGTCCGGAGGAATCGCTCTGATCCATCCCAAAAGAATCGCTGTGGTCTGTCCTGGAGGCACTGCAGTGATCCATCCCGGAGGAATCGCTCTGATCCGTCCCGGAGGAATCGCTCTGATCCATCCAAAAAGAATCGCTGTGGTCTGTCCTGGAGGCATGCAGTGATCCATCCCGGAGGAATCGCTCTGGTCTGTCCCGGAGGAATCGCTCTAATCCGTCCCGGAAGAATTGCTCTGATCCGTCCCGGAGGAATCGCTCTGATCCGACCCGGAGGAATCGCTCTGATCCGTCCCGGAGGAATCGCTCTGATCCGTCCCGGAGGAATCGCTCTGATCCATCCCAAAAGAATCGCTGTGGTCTGTCCTGGAGGCACTGCAGTGATCCATCCCGGAGGAATCGCTCTGATCCGTCCCGGAGGAATCGCTCTGATCCGTCCCGGAGGAATCGCTCTGATCCATCCAAAAAGAATCGCTGTGGTCTGTCCTGGAGGCACTGCAGTGATCCATCCCGGAGGAATTGCTCTGGTCTGTCCCGGAGGAATCGCTCTAATCCGTCCCGGAAGAATTGCTCTGATCCGTCCCGGAGGAATCGCTCTGATCCGTCCCGGAGGAATCGCTCTGATCCGTCCCGGAGGAATCGCTCTGATCCATCCCAAAAGAATCGCTGTGGTCTGTCCTGGAGGCACTGCAGTGATCCATCCCGGAGGAATCGCTCTGATCCGTCCCGGAGGAATCGCTCTGATCCGTCCCGGAGGAATCGCTCTGATCCATCCCAAAAGAATCGCTGTGGTCTGTCCTGGAGGCACTGCAGTGATCCATCCTGGAGGAATCGCTCTGGTCTGTCCCGGAGGAATCGCTCTAATCCGTCCCGGAAGAATCGCTCTGATCCGTCCCGGAGGAATCGCTCTGATCCGTCCCGGAGGAATCGCTCTGATCCATCCCGGAGGAATCGCTCTGATCCGTCCCGGAGGAATCGCTCTGATCCGTCCCGGAGGAATCGCTCTGATCCGTCCCGGAGGAATCGCTCTGATTTGTACCGGAGGAAATGCTATACAGTCCGGGGGAGGGGTGGACTCACTTCTGGGAGATACTGTGTATATCAGGGGCGGACTGACCATTTGGAAACTCAGGCACTGCTGAGGGCCCGGGGTCAGTAGAGGGCCCCATGAGATGCCCCTGGTACCTTTTTCATAGGCTTTTTTGAGTTTGGGCAAGGACACAGGGGCCCCATGTTCCCCTATTGCCCGGGGGCCCCATGAGTTGTCAGTCCGCCCCTGGTATATATATATATACACACACATTGTATACAGTCCGGGGGAGGGGGGGGGGGACTCACTTCTGGGAGATACTGTAATTATTTGGGAATTTTGAGTAATTTCTAGCAAAAATGCAGATTTTTTTAACATTTGAGCAAAAAATTAAAAAAAAATATGGACTTGGAATAATTATTAATTGTATCCAGGGCGATGTAATCCCTGGGGTAATCCTGATTGGGTGTTAAAGGGCTGTATTCTGGGTGTGCTGGTGATAATCCATCATCATTGGTCAGCTCACATTCCTCAACTGTTTGTTTTTCCTGCTGTGGTAGTTGTAGAAGGAGGAGCTGATGTAGAAGGGGAATCGTTCTCACCATGGCCGGGGAGATTTCGCTGGGATCCACGTACAGCTTGGACTTTACACCGTAAATGGAGTCCACGTCTTTTTCCTGGAACAACAAAAAAAAGTTAATGAATTCAGGAGAGGAATGCTGCGACCGACACAGGAGAGACGTTTATTGAATACATTTCAGGTGTAAGTTCAGAAGGGCAGCATTGAAAAAAAAAGATCGAGAACACGGGCGGAGTGCCTGGACTAGCAAGGCAAGCTGGTAGGGTCTTGGAACAGATTCCTGGCAGGGGTAGGGAATCAATCAACAGCAAGGGGGCTATTTATAAAGCATTCGACAATATTCCCCGTATTTTGCTTAATATGTTCATTTCCTATGCTCTACAGCTCCATCTAGTGGCCAAAATGTGGTATTTTCCTGAAATACCTCAATCAGCAAAATACCGCCTATGACCACTAGATGGAGCTGATGATCTTCAGATATAAATAGACAAAACAGGGTTTATTCCCCATATTGTGGCAGCACATTGGCTCAATGGTTAGCACTTCCGCCTGGCAGTGCTAGGATCGTTGGTTCAAATCCCAACCACGGCAGTTTGCATGTTCTTCCCTGTGCCTGCGTGGGTTTCCTCCGGTTACTCCGGTTTCCTCCCACCTCCAAAGACATGCTGGGAGGTTAATTGGATCCTGTCTAAATTGGTCCTGGCATGTGTATGTATGAATGTGAGTTAGGGCAGCACAGTGGCTAAATGGTTAGCACTTCCGCCTGGCAGTACTCAGGTCGCTGGTTCAAATCCCAACCACGGCACCACCTGCCTGGAGTTTGCATGTTCTCCCTGTACCTGCGTGGGTTTCCTCCAGGTGCTCCGGTTTCCTCTCACACTCCAAAGACATGCTGGGAGGTTCATTGGCTCCTGTCCAAATTGGCCCTAGTATGTGTATGTATGGATGTAAGTTAGGGCCCTTAGATTGTACGCTCCTCGGGGGCGGGAACTGATGTGAATGTACAATATATATGTAAAGTGCTGCATAAATTGATGGCACTATAGAAGTACCTGAAATAAATAATAAATATTGTTGTGAGAATTTCACAGCGAATGTTTACATTAATGGACCCCCCTAAACGAATTTAAAGGGGGGCACCTGGTCTCTCTCTGTTTTCAGTTTTCTGTGTTTCTTTGTTTTTTTTTTTCCACTTTAATTGGCAATTTTCCTGCAATTCTGTCCAACAACACAGACTATATCTGGAACCTGGGAAGCTCGGGACGTACCGCGTTGAACCTCATGAGCAGTTCCTCGGTCACGGGGTAGCGCAGCTTCATCTTCCGGTACAGCGTGTGCTTCTCGTAATAACTGACCAGCTCCACCAGGTTTTCAAAATAAGCCGAGGTTCCCAACACGAACAGGCGGCCATCTTTCTGGATTCTGCAGTGCTTCACTTTACCCTCCGCCCTAAAATACCAAAACACAAACCCACCGGCCGGGATAAAGCGTAGCTCGCCGAATTTATTTTACTTACTCTACTGCGGGCTTGGGCTGCCATGTTGGGTAAGAGAAGTCTTGGGTAGGAAAGGAGCTCCTGGATCCTCCTCCTAATGACCATAGGGTCGTATCGGAAACGTAGCAGCCCAAGCCACTAAGAGGGTCCACCACCATCACCATTCACCATTGGGCACAGGGGCGGACTGACCATTTGGAAACTCGGGAACTGCCCCGAGGGCCCAAGGTTAATAGGGGGCCCCATGAGATGCCCCTGGTACCTTTTTCATAGGCTTTTTCAGTTTGGGCAAAGGCACAGGGGCCCCATGATCCCCTATTGCCTGGAGGCCCCATGAGTTGTCAGTCCGCCCCTGATTGGGCACAACCCACTGGAAGGGACCTCTTCCTCTTTGCCTTCAAAGTGATGTAGGACCGGCAGCCCCGCTTGTTTTTTTTTATTGATTGTAACTGCAATACCATGTTAATGGAGTTATCCTTGAAGGTACTACACTCTGGGGGCCCCCTGCATCATGTGCGTTCATTGCAGGCAGTGACCCCGATCTCTTAAAGGGCCATATGCTTGTTGGCAGACTGTGCAAACTGACTAATTAGGAATTCGTGATTCTGCGACACAGATGTGGAGGGGGGGGTGTCCCTCCTCGGAATCAGCTATTTCTTAGTTGTGGAACGATCCTGCAGAGGTCCAGCTTTTGGACGGTTCTGGGTGGAGTTGGTCTTCAACTTTTTACATTTCTATGAATTATCTAAAAGGTCCAATCAGATTTCTGGGATGGAAAAGAAGGATGGAATGAAAAGGGGGGGGGCACCTACCTGAAGGTGATGGTGAGGGGGGGCACCGACCTGATGGGGGGGGGGCACCTACCTGAAGGTGATGGCAGTGTTGCACCTACCTGAAGGTGGTGGTGAGGGGGCACCTACCTGAAGGGGGGGCACCTACCTGAAGGGGGTGCACCTACCTGAAGGTGATGGAGAGGGATGCACCTACCTGAATGTGATGGCGGGGGGAACCTATCTGAATGAGCGGGGCACCTACCTGAAGATGATGGCGAGGGGGGCACTGACCTGAAGGGGGGGCACTTACCTGAAGGTGATGGCGGGGGGGCACCGACCTGAAGGTGATGGAGAGGGGGGCACCTACCTGAATGTGATGGCGTAGGAATTTGGCTCGTCTCGCTTTCGTATCAGAAACGCTCCATCCCGCGGTATCCTCGTCAGCATTTCTTCCGCTTCTCCTCGGCTCAGGTTGTCGTAATACCACCTACACCAATAGAAGACCCCGTTACTGATCCGTCCTTCAATCACAGACATGAAAGGGAACTCCGCCCTTTCTTCCCATGTGGCAGCGCCGGTGCTCGGGGACACACAACTTGGACAGGGAAAAGTTGCATCTCCCCCAGGCACTTCCTCCCACTTTGTTCTTGACCAACTTCTTGATGGTGGCCACCAGTCTTGGTTTGGGTTTTTTTTTTTTCAACACCCAGGGCAAGGATGCGGAACTGCGCCCCTCTCTCCCCCCCCCCCCCGAATGAGTGTACCACCCACTGCCCATTCTCAGTTCTCTTGCTCCAGCTGCCCATGGTTGGAGTGTGCACTGTTCTTGCGTGGCCCATTGCTGGCTTTCTAACAGCCATGAGGTGGTTGGCTGGGGCAGAGAGTGGACATGTTGGGTGAGGTCGGTGGCTGGATGTGTGGCGCTCCCCAACCTTCCCTCCCTGTAAGATAGCACCGGGCCTACGGCGCCTGACCCTGCTGCCCACCCTTGGTCCTGACTGTGGTAGCTACAGTGCTCCAAACACATCCACTACTTCATATCCATGCAATCTACTATTCCTGAGATTGTTTCTTACTGTGCTTTGCTGCCTCCTTGTTATGTCCTCCATGGGCCTCCGAATCTCTCCTCCCCCACCCCCACTTTGTTTGGAGAGGTTGAGTGATTTAGGAGGTGGCTGCAGTCTGCGGGCCAGATGCGACCCTTTTCTTGCCTTCTGTCCTTGGGGCACTATTCCTCCCACTGACACCAACAATGGGGCACTATTCCTCCCACTGACACCAACGATGGGGCACTATTCCTCCCACTGACACCAATGATGGGGTACTATTCCTCCCACTGACACCAATGATGGGGCACTATTCCTCCCACTGATACCAATGATGGGGCACCATTCCTCCCACTGACACCAATGATGGGGCACTATTCCTCCCACTGACACCAACGATGGGGCACTATTCCTCCCACCAATATCAATAATGGGGCACTATTCCTCCCACTGACACCAATGATGGGGCACTATTCCTCCCACTGGCACCAACAATGGAGCACTATTCCTCCCACCAATATCAATAATGGGGCACTATTCCTCCTACTGATACCAATGATGGGGCACTATTCCTCCCACTGACACCAATGATGGGGCACTATTCCTCCCACTGACACCAATGATGGGGCACTATTCATCCCACTGACACCAAGGATGGGCATAGTTTGCTCCCACTGATGCTGGGCATTTTCTACGCCCACTGGCCACTATCTGTCCAACAAAGTCTGAAGGACAATAAACTAGCCCTTTGTTTAGAAAGATTGGAGACCCCTGCCTTAGAGGAACCTTGAAATATTTTTTAGGTCTTGGGGGAACCTCAGCTAATACCAATTCATTGGGTGTCACTGAGAAGAACATCCCTTATATTGGCCTATGGAAAGAATGCGACCCATACAGTGGTGGTCAGAAGGCCACCCTTACAGAGAGCTGGAAAGATCATTGCTGTCCTCCAGTTGGCTTGACCAAAACTATGGTGGCACCATCAGATGGGAGGTCAATCAGGAACCCCTAGAAGCTTCTGAAGGAATCCTGGAGATCTCCAGAACCCAGGTTGGGAATGGCTTCCATAGACACACAACAAACGGACATAAAGACTTACTCCTTGGCCAGGTGAGGGTTGGGATTTGGAACGGCGTCCATCAACCTGAGCTCGAAGTCGGAACAGCGCAGCGAGGACTCCCTGTAGTGCTGTATCAGCTCATAAATACTGTCGAAGGTCAAGTTGTCGGTCAGGTAATACTTCACATACTCTCCGTCCGTGCAGGACCGGATCCGGCAATGCTGGACTCTCCCCGACCTCCTGCAAGAGGGAGAGGCACCACACAAGGTGGTGAGAAGAACTCAGAACATAGAAAGGAAAGGTGAGAGGACAAATGGGGAAACCACGGGCGGACTGACAACTCATGGGGCCCCCGGGCAATAGGGGATCGTGGGGCCCCTGTGTCCTTGCTCAAACTCAAAAAAGCCTATGAAAAAGTTACCAGGGGCATCTCATAGGGCCCCCTACTGACCCCGGGCCCTCGGGCAGTGCCCGAGTTTCCAAATGGTCAGTCCGCCCCTGGCCCAGTGGAGTTTCTTCCTCAGAGGAGTTTGTGTCCAGATAGATCCTACCAGAAGGAGAGAGTGAAATCATCGCGGAACGACTCGCTCTCCCGCACCAGGAAAGTTCCGTCTTTGCCCCCCATCTCAGCGCAGTACTCCTGCAGCAGGCGCTCCGCCATGAACCGGCCCTCCTGCATCTTCCCGTGGAACCATTTCTCCTGCAGATGCTGCTCCTGCGATGACTGGGAGAGGAGAGAAGAGAAAACTGTAATAAATAAAAAGTCACCCCTGTTACCCTTCATGCATCCCCCCAATATTCTGTATATATATAATCATCTGTATCCCCCCAATATTCTGTATATATCATCTGTATCCCCCAATATTCTGTATATATAATCATCTGTATCCCCCCCAATATTCTATATATATCATCTGTATCCCCCCAATATTCTGTATATATATAATCTGTATCCCCCCAATATTCTGTATATATATAATCTGTATCCCCCCAATATTCTGTATATATAATCATCTGTATCCCCCCCAATATTCTGTATATATATATATATATATATATATATATATATATATATATATATATATATATACAGTCAGGTCCATAAATATTGGGACATGGACACAATTCTAATATTTTTGGCTCTATACACCACCACAATGGATTTGAAATGAAACAAACAAGATGTGCTTTAACTGCAGACTGTCAGCTTTAATTTGAGGGTATTTACATCCAAATCAGGTGAACGGTGTAGGAATTACAACAGTTTGCATATGTGCCTCCCACTTGTTAAGGGACCAAAAGTAATGGGACAGAATAATAATCATAAATCAAACTTTCACTTTTTAATACTTGGTTGCAAATCCTTTGCAGTCAATTACAGCCTGAAGTGTGGAATGCATAGACATCACCAGACGCTGGGTTTCATCCCTGGTGATGCTCTGCCAGGCCTCTACTGCAACTGTCTTCAGTTCCTGCTTGTTCTTGGGGCATTTTCCCTTCAGTTTTGTCTTCAGCAAGTGAAATGCTCAATCGGATTCAGGTCAGGTGATGGACTTGGTCATTGCAGAACATTCCACTTCTTTGGTGGCTTTTGCAGTCTGCTTTGGGTCATTGTCCATCTGCACTGTGAAGCGTCCAATGAGTTGTGAAGCATTTGGCTGAATATGAGCCGATAATATTCCCGAAACACTTCACAATTCATCCGGCTGCTTCTGTCAGCCGTCACATCATCAATAAATACAAGAGAAGCAGTTCCATTGGCAGCCATACATGCCCCACGCCATGACACTACCACCACCATGATCACTGATGAGGTGGTATGCTGAGGACCATGAGCAGTTCCTTCTCCATCCTCTTCTCTTCCCATCACTCTGGTACAAGTTGATGTCGGTCTCATCTGTCCATAGGATGTTGTTCCAGAACTGTGAAGGCTTTTTTACATGTCGTTTGGCAAACTCTAATCTGGCCTTCCTGTGTTTGAGGCTCACCAATGGTTTCCATCTTGTGGTGAACCCTCTGTATTCACTCTGGTGAAGTCTTCTCTTGATTGGTGACTTTGACACACATACACCTACCTCCTGGAGAGTGTTCTTGATCTGGCCAACTGTTGTGAAGGGTGTTTTCTTCACCAGGGAAAGAATTCTTCGCTCATCCACCACAGTTGTTTTCCGTGGTCTTCCGGGTCTTTTGGTGTTGCTGAGCTCACCGGTGCGTTCCTTCTTTTTAAGAACGTACCAAACAGTTGTTTTGGCCACGCCTAATGTTTTTGCTATCTCTCTGATGGGTTTGTTTTGTTTTTTTTCAGCCTAATGATGGCTTCACTGATAGTGACAGCTCTTTGGATCTCATCTTGAGAGTTGACAGCAACAGATTCCAAATGCAAATAGCACACTTGAAATGAACTCTGGACCTTTTATCTGCTGATTGTAATTGGGATAATGAGGGCATAACACACACCTGGCCATGGAACAGCTGAGAAGCCAATTGTCCCATTACTTTTGGTCCCTTAACAAGTGGGAGGCACATATACAAACTGTTGTCATTCCTACACTGTTCACCTTATTTGGATGTAAATACCCTCAAATTAAAGCTGACAGTCTGCAGTTAAAGCACATCTTGTTCGTTTCATTTCAAATCCATTGTGGTGGTGTATAGAGCCAAAAATGTTAGAATTGTGTCGATGTCCCAATATTTATGGACCTAACTGTATATATATTCATCTGTATTCCCCCAATATTCTATATATAAAATCATCTGTATCCCCCCCCAACAATACTGTATACTGCCGGGGGGTGGAGTGAATCCTGGGGGGGGTCATTTTTTTACATATATATATATATATACACACACACATACTGCATGTTGAAATGCGTTATTACAAAAAATATGAAAAGTATTTTTAAAAATACATTTCAATATATACCGTAAGTCTTTAAAAATAGAAATCTCCATTTTTTGGAATGCGTTTACAAATATATGTAAAAATATATATGTTAAAATGACTTTATGTTAAAAAAATTCTGAAGAATATATTTTTTAAAAATATATTTTTCAAAGAATATTTTTTTAAAATATATTCTTCAGATATTTTTTTTAACATAAAAAAGTCATTTTTTAACATATATTTTTACATATATTTGTAAACGCATTCCAAAAATGTAGATTTGTGTTTTTAAAGACATATAGTATATTTGAAATGTATTTTTCTAAATATTTTTCATACAATTTGTAGTAAAAACGCATTTCAACATTCAGTATGTGTGTGTGTATATATACATATATATAATTTTTTTTTTTTTATTATATATTTTTTTTTTATATATATATATATTCTTCAGATTTTTTTTATACTTTTACATATATTTGTGAATGCATTTCCAAAAATGTAGATTTGTATTTTTAAAGACATGCAGTATTCTTGAAATGTATGTTTAAAAATATTTCTCATATATTTTGTAATAACGCATTTCAACATTATACATATATACATATATACACACACTATTTTTTTTTTATTTTTTTTAATTAATTTTTTTTTTTTTTATTGAAATATATTGCATACGCTCATAATTGTAATATTTTAAATATATGTCAATATATTTGGGGAAAATATTTTTAAAATATATTTCAAATATATTTTTCTCCCATGTGGGAAATAGACCCTCTAGTGGATTTATAATCTCTTCGGCTCTCAGAGAATACAGTTCCATGGGAGTTCGGCGCGTTGCGCAGATATTGGTTGAATTTCCCGCCTGTTCCTTCGTATTCTCTGTATTCAGAACAGAAAAAGGAAAAAAAAAAAAAAAGAGCATAAAACACATCTGCCACTTGTCTTGTGGCGTTCCTCAGAATCGGCGGCGGGCTGCGTGCGCGGACTTATTTATACTCGCAGTCCGACGCTCGGAGGGTAATGCGTCTCGCCCAGAAATACTGCGGCAGACAGTAAAGAGCTGATTAGAGAGAATTACAGGTTTGGAGGAGAAGAAGCGAAGGATGACACTAAATACATTCCACGCCGAGGTTATCGGCTCGCCGCGACGCTCCCAGATGGCGGAAATATGTCTTTCTGCAATCTTCAGCGCGCCGGGTTTATTTGGATCATTGCTACATTGTAACAGTTGATATCCTTCATACTTCCGCCGAGTTCAGTGTCAGATGAGTAAATGAAAGCGAACGCGCCGGGAATTGTTATGGAGCGATTCCGCAGAAAAAAAAAAGAATCCAGGAGAAGGACCACGGAACCCGCGATTGTTTCAGCGGAAAAATATATAAAGACCCTGCGAAGGAAAAAATGAAAGGAAGATCCTAAGAAGCCATCAGATCTCAATGGGGAGGAATCTCCTGCTGGACCTCTATACTGACATGGATGGGGGATGGGTGAGGAACGTAATGACACCCCATCATTGGATGGAAATGATCGACCTACAGAGGACTGAATTCACAGACACCCCGAAAATCAAAGTGCAGAAATGATACAGCAGGCGAGTCCATGTTGGTGAAATGTCAGTGCAGCAACTCAGAATGGTCCTCAGTAGTCTGTGTGGCCCCACGTGCTTGTATGTATGCCTGACAACGTCGGGGGAGGGTCCTAATGAGACCACGGATGGTGTCCTGGGGGATTTCCTCCCAGATCTGGACCAGGACATCACTGAGCTCCTAGACAGTCTGAGGTGCAACCTGATGGACCGAAACATGACACTGATACCAATGATGGGGCACTATTCCTCCCACTGACACCAGACCAATGATGGGACACTATTCCTCCCACTGACACCAATGATGGGGCACTATTCCTCCCACTGACACCAATGATGGGACACTATTCCTCCCACTGACACCAATGATGGGGCACTATTCCTCCCACTGACACCAACGATGGGGCACTATTCCCCCCACTGACACCAATGATGGGGCACTATTCCCCCCACTGACACCAATGATGGGGCACTATTCCCCCACTGACACCAATGATGGGGCACTATTCCCCCCACTGACACCAATGATGGGGCACTATTCCCCCCACTGATACCAATGATGGGACACTATTCTTCCCACTGACACCAATGATGGGGCACTATTCCTCCCAGTGACACCAATTATGGGGCACTATTCCTCCCACTGACACCAATGATGGGGCACTATTCCTCCCACTGACACCAATAATGGGACACTATTCCTCCCACTGACACCAATTATGGGGCACTATTCCCCCCACTGACACCAATGATGGGGCACTATTCCTCCCACTGACACCAATGATGGGACACTATTCCTCCCACTGATACCAATGACGGGGCACTATTCCTCCCACTGACACCAATGATGGGGCACTATTCCCCCCACTGACACCAATGATGGGGCACTATTCCCCCCACTGACACCAATGTGGGGCACTATTCCTCCCACTGATACCAATGATGGGGCACTATTCCTCCCACTGATACCAATGATGGGGCACTATTCCTCCCACCTGACACCAATGATGGGGCACTATTCCTCCCCCCGACACCAATGATGGGCACTATTCCCCCCCACTGACACCAATGATGGGGCACTATTCCTCCCACAGACACCAATGATGGGGCACTATTCCTCCCATTGATACCAATGTTGGGGCACTATTCCTCCCACTGATACCAATGATGGGGCACTATTCCTCCCACTGACACCAATGATGGGGCACTATTCCTCCCACCGACACCAATGATGGGGCACTATCCCCCCCCACTGACACCAATGATGGGGCACTATTCCTCCCACTGACACCAATGATGGGGCACTATTCCTCCCACCGACACCAATGATGGGGCACTATTCCCCCCCCCACTGACACCAATGATGGGGCACTATTCCCCCCCACTGACACCAATGATGGGGCACTATTCCTCCCACTGACACCAATGATGGGGCACTATTCCTCCCACTGACACCAATGATGGGGCACTATTCCTCCCACTGACACCAATGATGGGGCATGGTCTTTCCTTCCTAAACCTGAAGGCCTGTAAGCGATCCGTTTGTTTAGGAAGTCTGGAGATCAGTGACTTGGACTGTACACTGTAAGTTTGTATCCAGTCACAAGGAGAGAGGCTGATCTGTGTCAGACATTTGTGAACACCAGGGGATCCTGGGTCTCAGTCCAGGAAGTAGATGAGGATGGATGATGATTTTAGTGTCTACTTATACTTCTGCGTTGCGGTGATTTGCGGTTGAACGGGAGATTTCCCAAAGATTGTACAATCAGATTGTAGCGTATATGGCCAATGTAAGACACTGATAGAGCTCTACAGCCGAGGAGTGGGCGGAGCCCACTGAAAAAAAACAACCAATCATTCCGGGAGGGCGTGTCTGTTTGCGGTGATTACCTTGGGTGTCGGGTCTTCTGTGTTCTGTTCAATCTCATCGCCGTAGGAAAGCTTATCGCCAGCGATGGCGCAATACCGGACCGACCATTTCTACAACACAGACCACAGGACCATCAATTCCACACACAGGACCATCAATTCCACACACAGGACCGTCAATTCCACACACAGGACCATCAATTCCACACACAGGACCGTCAATTCCACACACAGGACCGTCAATTCCACACACAGGACCGTCAATTCCACACACAGGACCATCAATTCCACACACAGGACCATCAATTCCACACACAGGACCATCAATTCCACACACAGGACCATCAATTCCACACACAGGACCATCAATTCCACACATCGAATCCCTCCGGATTACCACCACAAGACCCCCGACAGAAGGACTTTCTATTATCTGATCCCCCACAGTCCCTCTGTTCCCCACAGTCCCTCTGATCCCCACAGTCCCTCTGATCCCCACAGTCCCTCTGATCCCCAGAGTCCCTTCTATGCCCAAAGTTCTTCTGAGTCCTACAGTCCCTCCGATCCCCAGTGTCCCTCCGATCCCCAGAGTCCCTTCGATGCCCAAAGTTCTTCTGAGTCCTACAGTCCCTCCGATCCCCACAGTCCCTGATCCTCAGAGTCCCTCTGATCCCCACAGTCCCTCCGATCCCCAGAGTCCCTCTGATCCCCACAGTCCCTCCGATCCCCATAGTCCCTTTGATGCCCAAAGTTCTTCTGAGTCCCATAGTCACTCTGATCCCCAAAGTCCCTCCAATCCCCACAGTCTTCTGAGTCCCAAAGTCCTTCTAAGTTCAATAGTCACTCTGATCCCCACAGTCTTCTGATTCCCATACTCCTTCTGATCCCCAAAGTCCTTCTAAGTTCCATAGTCCCTCTGATCCCCACAGTCTTTCTGATTTCCATAGTCCCTCTGGTCCCCACAGTCCTTCTGAATCCCATAGGCCTTCTTAGCCCCACAGTCCTTCTGATTTCCATAGTCCTTCCGATTCTTAGATGTGGTGGCTGCATTGGTTTTCTCCTATAGGCTTTCTTTCCTATATTTTCACCTGGTGATCCGGCCAGTCAGTCTGTTGTTTTTCAACAGGACAAGCTGTCCTGCAGAGGTAGCAGTTTGAGGGTGGAGACGAAGCATTGACCACTGACAGGGGTGCTTACAGTGATCAGCTTTTACTTTATATAAAACCTTTATCCCAACAAGGAACAAAACTTTAACCGATGGTAACACTGGAGTTCAGCTTCAGTGGGTTAGTGTATCTAAATCTGCTAGTCCATCTAACACCCCCCTTCCCCAGACTGACAATGCCGCTGACCAAAGGTACCCCCCTGTGCTCCTTCCTCCAAAGTGGAGGCGCTCTATTACAGGAGGTGTGTTTACCGGCCGGATCACCAGGTGAAAACAAAGAAAAAGAAAACTAATGCAGCCGCCACAGCTAATGACTGGTAAGCTGCAATCTGTTCCATTTTGGTTTGGGGTTTAATACCGCTTTAAAGACCCCTTAAAGGGACAGGGGGCGGGGCCTTATAATGAGCACAGGGGGCGTGCAGATCCCAGATCTCACCAATGGATTCCCCGAGGGGCTAAAGGGGCCGTCTGATGGTTTAAGCGTCCACTTACAATCTGAAATACAATCTTGGGGCGGACTCATCCTTTAAATATATTATTTCAGATTTTCAGATAAAAAAAAAAGGGCGCACAAAGGAGAGCGAACCCCCAAAATTGGTATGAAGAGAAGACCGGCGGATTACCTGATCTATGGCGTCCCACATATGGAGCTCCCCCTGCAGTTTGGTCTCCTCCTTGCTGTCATCTGCATTGGTGACGTAATCGCCTTTGGGGCCCAACTTCTTGTGCTGCAATCAGAAGTCATGAGAAGATGAGAAGCCGAACCAAGCCGAGCCAAACCGAGCTGAGCCAAGCCGAGCTGAACAGAGCCGAGCCGAACAGAGCCGAGCCGAACAGAGCCGAGCCAAGCCAAGCTGAACAGAGCCGAGCCGAACAGAGCCAAGCCGAACAGAGCCGAGCCAAACAGAGCCGAGCAGAGCTGAGCCGAACAGAGCCCAAGCCAAGCCGAACCGAGCCAAACAGAGCCGAGCCGAACAGAGCCGAGCCAAACAGAGCCGAGCCAAGCCGAGCCGAGCCGGACAAGCCTAGCCAAGCCGAACAGAGCCGTGCCAAACAGAGCCAAACAGAGCCGAGCCAAACAGAGCCGAGCCAAACAGAGCCGAGCCAAGCCGAGCTGAACAGAGCCGAGCCGAACAGAGCCAAGCCGAACCGAGCCAAACAGAGCCGAGCCAAACAGAGCCGAGCCGAACAGAGCCAAGCCGAACAGAGCCGAGCCAAACAGAGCCGAGCCGGACCGAGCCTAGCCAAGCCGAACAGAGCCGAGCCGAACAGAGCCAAGCCGAACCGAGCCAAACAGAGCCAAGCCAAACAGAGCCGAGCAGAGCCGAACAGAGCCAAGCCGAACAGAGCCGAACAGAGCCGAGCCAAGCCGAGCTGGACCGAGCCTAGCCAAGCCGAACAGAGCCGAGCCAAACAGAGCCAAGCCGAGCCGAACAGAGCCAAACTGAGCCGAACCGAGCCGTGCCGAGCCGAACCAACCCAAGCTGAGCGGCGTATAGTGGAGGGACCAGCAATAGGACTCGTTTTTTATTTTTTTTTTTTTGCATCTTTGTGCAACTGATCACCTGCAGCCGCTTCCTGTCCACATAAACACAGCAATGGAGAGGCGAAGTGCGCAGTTTAATGCAGGCCATACACAGGTCGAATTCTGAGCAATTTTTCATTCGAAAATCGGAAACGTCGTTCGCTGGGTAATCCGATGGCGCCATTAATGATTTCGAAAATCGGCCAACCGAGTCATAAAGTTCACCACATATAACGGGCGAAACTTCTGTTCCTTCCAGGTCACGGCTCATGGCGCATATTCTTTTCAGAAAAACGATCGTACGATTTGACCATCATTGAGTCGAAAATCGTGCATTTTTCCAACATGCCCAATCACCGAAAAGGGGAGGCACCACGAAAATTGTCCAGTACCATTGACCCCACTAACACAAAGAAAATCGAAAATAATAATAATAACAATAAACTCAACCAAAAAAATACAATAATAATATTATTATTATCATCAATAGTTTATTTTTATTATTATTATTGTATTTTTGTGTTTGAGTTTAGATTTTGGGCATCCCCTGCAACAAAAATGTCATATTTGGTGAGATACTCCCAAAGGGAAATCCCATCTAAGGGGATGCAAACCCCGCCGCTTTCCTCATTAGAGCCCTGCAGGTGCAGCAGCTGATTGATCATTATAATGTTGCTCCCATTCACGGGGGGGGGGGGGGATTACTCCATAAAGACACACGGGTGCAGCTTTACCTTGATGATGATCTTCTCTTTCAGTTGGGTGGGGGAGGGCAGTTGGTCGGCGCTGGCTTCGGTGGGTTTGGTCAGCAGATGATCTCCCAAAGACCTCCTTGAACACCTTGGCCATGTACCTCTGCTGCTCTACATTGCAGTGCTCCTCTATGGAGAGTATGACCGGGTACCTGGAGACACAGAAAGTCTGGTCAGGTAAAGGGCCCTGATGGGGATCAGGAGGAGACAGAAAGTCCGGTCAGGAATAGGGCACTGACGGGGGATCAGGAGGAGACAGAAAGTCCGGTCAGGAATAGGGCACTGACAGGGGATCAGGAGGAGGCAGAAAGTCCGGTCAGGAATGGGCACTGAGGGGGATCAGGAGGAGACAGAAAGTCCGGTCAGGAATAAAGCACTGATGGGGATCAGGAGGAGACAGAAAGTCCGGTCAGGAATAAAGCACTGATGGGGATCAGGAGGAGACAGAAAGTCCGGTCAGGAATAAAGCACTGATGGGGATCAGGAGGAGACAGAAAGTCCGGTCAGGAATAGGGCACTGATGGGGATCAGGAGGAGACAGAAAGTCCGGTCAGGAATTGAGCACTGATGGGGATCAGGAGGAGACAGAAAGTCCGGTCAGGAAAAGGGCACTGATGAGGGATCAGGAGGAGACAGAAAGTCCGGTCAGGAATAGGGCACTGACGGGGATCAGGAGGAGACAGAAAGTCCGGTCAGGAATTCGGCACTGATGGGGGATCAGGAGGAGACAGAAAGTCCGGTCAGGAATAGGGCACTGACGGGGGATCAGGAGGAGGCAGAAAGTCCGGTCAGGAATTGGGAACTGAGGGGGGATCAGGAGGAGACAGAAAGTCCGGTCAGGAATAGGGCACTGACGGGGGATCAGGAGGAGACAGAAAGTCCGGTCAGGAATAGGGCACTGATGGGGGATCAGGAGGAGACAGAAAGTCCAGTCAGGTATAGGGCACTGACGGGGGATCAGGAGGAGACAGAAAGTCCAGTCAGGAATTCGGCACTGAGGGGGATCAGGAGGAGACAGAAAGTCCGGTCAGGAATAGGGCACTGATGGGGGATCAGGAGGAGACAGAAAGTCCGGTCAGGAATAAAGCACTGATGGGGATCAGGAGGAGACAGAAAGTCCGGTCAGGAATCGGGAACTGAGGGGGGATCAGGAGGAGACAGAAAGTCCGGTCAGGAATAAAGCACTGATGGGGATCAGGAGGAGACAGAAAGTCCGGTCAGGAATAGAGCACTGATGGGGATCAGGAGGAGACAGAAAGTCCGGTCAGGAATAAAGCACTGATGGGGATCAGGAGGAGACAGAAAGTCCGGTCAGGAATAAAGCACTGATGGGGATCAGGAGGAGACAGAAAGTCCGGTCAGGAATAGGGCACTGACGGGGATTAGGAGGAGACAGAAAGTCCGGTCAGGAATAGGGCACTGAGGGGGGATCAGGAGGAGGCAGAAAGTCCAGTCAGGAATCGGGGAACTGAGGGGGGATCAGGAGGAGACAGAAAGTCCGGTCAGGAATAGGGCACTGACGGGGGATCAGGAGACAGAAAGTCCGGTCAGGAATAGGGCACTGATGGGGGATCAGGAGGAGACAGAAAGTCCAGTCAGGAATAGGGCACTGACAGGGGATCAGGAGGAGACAGAAAGTCCGGTCAGGAATTCGGCACTGAGGGGGATCAGGAGGAGACAGAAAGTCTGGTCAGGAATAGAGCACTGACGGGGGATCAGGAGGAGACAGAAAGTCCAGTCAGGAATTCGGCACTGAGGGGGATCAGGAGGAGACAGAAAGTCCGGTCAGGAATAGGGCACTGACGGGGGATCAGGAGGAGACAGAGAGTCCGGTCAGGAATAGGGCACTGATGGGGATCAGGAGGAGACAGAAAGTCCGGTCAGGAATAGGGCACTGATGGGGATCAGGAGGAGACAGAAAGTCCGGTCAGGAATAGGGCACTGACGGGGGATCAGGAGGAGACAGAAAGTCCGGTCAGGAATAGGGCACTGATGGGGATCAGGAGGAGACAGAAAGTCCAGTCAGGAATAGGGCACTGATGGGGATCAGGAGGAGACAGAAAGTCCGGTCAGGAATAGGGCACTGATGGGGATCAGGAGGAGACAGAAAGTCCAGTCAGGAAATAAAGCACTGATGGGGATCAGGAGGAGACAGAAAGTCCAGTCAGGAATAGGGCACTGACAGGGGATCAGGAGGAGACAGAAAGTCCAGTCAGGAATAGGGCACTGACAGGGGATCAGGAGGAGACAGAAAGTCCCGGTCAGGAATTCGGCACTGAGGGGGATCAGGAGGAGACAGAAAGTCTGGTCAGGAATAGAGCACTGACGGGGGATCAGGAGGAGACAGAAAGTCCAGTCAGGAATTCGGCACTGATGGGGATCAGGAGGAGACAGAAAGTCCGGTCAGGAATAGGGCACTGACGGGGGATCAGGAGGAGACAGAAAGTCCGGTCAGGATAGGGCACTGATGGGGATCAGGAGGAGACAGAAAGTCCGGTCAGGAATAGGGCACTGATGGGGATCAGGAGGAGACAGAAAGTCCGGTCAGGAATAGAGCACTGATGGGGATCAGGGAGGAGACAGAAAGTCCGGTCAGGAATCGGGCACTGACGGGGGGATCAGGAGGGCTGGAGAACGTTACAGAGATAACGGGTCAAAGCTGAACTCCAGGAGAAGAAGGTATTGTCCAGTCAAGAGTCTTGTGTCATCACTGGGAGCTTGCTGGGCTTTGTGGTTGGACACCCCCCCTCATCGGGGCTCACATGGTCTGCAACCTCAAAACTGGCAGAAACTAGACATGTGCGTTTCGTTATATAATTTTTTTTTTGGCCAAAAATTCAACTTTCTGAGATTCGGATGTATCAGGTGCAATGCTTTGGCCAATCACAGCGTATGATGACGTCACAAGTTGGCGAGGGTAACCCCACCCCCTTGTGACGTCATCACAGTATTTAAGAACTGTTACCATCCCGGCGCAGCTGTCAGAGGCTGGGAGCCGGCATTGAGGGTAACTCCACCCGCTTGTGACATCACAGTATTTAAGGACTGTCATCCTGGTGCAGCTGTCAGAGGCTGGGAGCCGGCATTGAGGGTAAACCCCACCCTGCTTGTGACATCACAGTATTTAAGAACTGTCATCCTGGTGCAGCTGTCAAAGGGCCGGAGCAAGCGTCGAGGGTAACCCCACCCCCCTTTGTGACATCACAGTATTTAAGAACTGTCATCCTGGTGCAGCTGTCAGAGGGCGGGAGCCAGCGTCGAGGGTAACCCCACCCCCTTTGTGATGTCACAGTATTTGGGGGGACCCCACGCCTTTTTTTTTTCTTTAAAATTTTGGCATGGGGGTTCCCATCAAAATCCATGCCAGACCTGAAGTGCTTGGTATGGATGGGAGGGGGGACCCCACACCGTTTTTTAAAAAAAATTTAAATTGTTGGGCAATGCTGGCCAATTCTTTACCATCCAGCTGTCAGCGGAGAACCCCATTGACACCTTAGACATGAATGAATGTCTCACTACTAAAGGGGGGTTCCAGATCCCCATAAGCCCCTCCCCCCCGTCCGCAGACCCCCACAAACCACCGACCAGGACTGTGGAGAAGAGGCCCTTGTCCCCATCAACATGGGGGGACAAGGCACCCCCCTTTCCTGACCTGCCAGGCTGCATGCTCGGATAAGGGTCTGGCATGGATTTTGGGGGGGGGGGACCCCCCCACTTTTTTATTTAATTTTGGTATGGGGGTTCCCTCAAAGTCCAAGATTTTTGGCCATGACTGTGTAACAATACACCATGGACGGGTGCGGCTCACTCTTAAAGGACTAAACATAACATAAATGCGCTCAGCTGCGGTCCTTCACGTCAAGGTCATGCGGTTACTCAGGAGTTTACAGCGCGGACGCACTCGGAGGTGACGAATGCGTGATCCTTGATAGCTTGCACCCACGTCGTCAAATTTAATTTTCGTTGTTCTTGTCCATCCGTGATAAATAATCGGCTTTCCGTCAGGACCGTCCCCAGCAGTCCACTGGAGAGAGAGGGGGGAGAGAGAGGGGAGAGACGAGGAGAGAGAGAGAGGGGGGAGAGAGAGCAGAGGAAGGGGGAGCAAGAGATAAAATAAGGGGGAGGAGAGGGGAGAGAGAGGAGAGGAGGGGGAGAGAGAGAGGGGGGGAGAGAGGAGAGAGAGAGGGGGGAGGAGAGAGAGCAGAGAAAAAGGGGAGCAGAGGAGGGAGAGAGAGGGGAGAGAGAGGAGAGGAGAGGGAGAGAGAGAGGAGGGGGGGGGAAAGGGGGAGAGAAAGGGGGGAGAGAGAGAAAGGGGCAGAGGCAGAGAGAGATGGGGGGGCCAGTGAGAGAGGGGGGGCAGAGGAGGCAGAGCAGAGAGGGAGGGAGGGGGGGCAGAGCAGAGAGGGGGAGGGAGAGGGGGCAGAGGAGAAAACAGAGGAGGGGGAGCAAGGGGGAGGGGGGAGAGAGAGAAAACAGAGGAGGGGAGAGAGCAAGGCGGGGAGAGAGAGAGAGGAGTTAGGGAGGAGGAGAGAGAGGCAGAGGAAGGAGAGAGGGGGGGCTAGAGGGGGGGAGGGGGAGAGGGGAAAGAGGGAGCAGAGGAGTAGTGGGGAGAGTGAGATGTGGAGAGAGAGAGAGGGGGGGAGAGAGAGCAGCAGGAGGGGGAGGAGAGGGGAGAGAGTATATTCGAGAGAGGGGAGAGAGAGAGGGAGAGAGAGAGGGGAGCAGAGGGAGGGGGGAGGAGGGGGAGAGTAACGTGAAATGGGGGAGAGAGAGGAGAGGAGGGGGGAGAGAGAGGGGGGGGAGAGAGGGTGCAGAGGGAGGGGGAGAGAGCCGGGGAGAGGAGAGAGAGAGAAGGGGGGAGAGAGCAGAGGAGAAAGAGAGAAGGGGGGAGGAGAGAGAGGGGCATAGGGAGTGAGAGAGGAAGGCAGGGGAGAGAGAGGGCTGAGAGGGGAGCTGGGGGGAGAGGGGGGAGAGAGAGCAGAGGGGGGGAGGAGGAGGTGAGAGAGAGAAGCGGGGGGGCACAGAGGAGGGAGAGAGGAGGGGGGGGCAAGAGCAGGGGGAGGGAAGAGAGGGGGGAACAGAGGAGGAGGGGGGAGAGAGGGAGGGGGAGGAGGGGGGAGAGAGGGAGAGAAAACCAGAGGAGGGGAGAGCTATGGTCCCGAGGGGGGAAAGAGAGGGCGCGTCGAAGGGGGGAGAGAGAGGGCCAGAGGAGAGAGAGCGGGGGCAGAGGAGGTGGGGAGCGGGGGGAGAGAGGGCAGAGGAGGGGAGAGAGAGAGGAGGTCCAGATGAGACTAGTCGAGTGGAGGGAGAGAGAGAGAGGCTGGGGGATGAAAGAGGAGGAGGGGGAGGGAGAGGGCAGATGGTTGGAGAGAGAGTTGAGAGTACAAGGGAGAGAGGGAGGATCGAGGGGTAGAAAGAGATGGGGGGGAGAGAGATGGATGGGATTCCATGAGAGGGGGAGAGAGGGTCCAGAGAGGGGATTCTCCTTCAGAGGGGGGAACCTCCTAGTACATCTGGCTTTTACTTATGTTGAGAGAGAGGGGGTAGACGAGTGAAGAACGGAGAAGCTAAATTACACGTAGAGAAGCAAGGAGATCACCCATCCCTGTGCAGAGTTCCCGGGTCCTTGTACAACCTTTTTTTAAACTGGATATTTTTTATAGCAAAAAGGAAAAAATTTTTTTTTTCTTTTTAAATTTATAAAATTTTTTTTTTTTCATTTATAAGCTCAAAAAAAAACGGTTAATGTGAGATCAAATACCACCAAAAGAAAGCTCTACTTTGTGTGAAAATAATTCTATAAATGTTTAATTTGTGTACAGTATGCACAAGACCGCGCAATTATCAGTTAAAAATCAGCGCAGCGCCGTATAGCAACAAAAAAAAAAAAAAAGACCTCGTCATGAAGAAAGGGTTGAGGGTCCCTCTGGGCGCAAGTTACTGAATAAATGTCTGCGAGGGGGTCCTGAAAGAGAGAGGAGCGCAAAAATAAAACGGCGGATTATTCTGCGTTTCTATGGTTGAACTGATAAAAATAATAACAATAAAAATAAAAAAAAATAATAAAAAAACTAAAATAATTAAATAAAAATAATAAATAAATAACCAAATAAAAATTAATAATAATAATAAAATAAAATAATAATAACAATAATAAATAAAAATAATACTAAAATACTAATAATAATAATAACAAACAATATTATTATTAGTATTAATTGTTATTATTAGTATTATTGTTATTATTTAGTATTAATATTATTATATTATTAATTTATTAATTATTATTATATTAAATAATATTAATATTAAAATTATTAATATTATTATTATTATTAAAATTAACAATTAATTTTAATAAAATATATAATAATAATTAATAAATAATAATAAAATAAATATAATTTTAAAAAAATAATACTAATAAATAACAAAAAAAAAATAAATAAAATAATAAAATAATAATAATATAAAATAATAATAATAATAATAAAAAATTAATAATAACAATAATAATAATAATGAGAAGAAAAAAAATTCTGTTATTTTTTTCAACTCCGATCGCTTTACCTTCCATACATTTAAAAAAAAAAACTGATACAAAACACATAAACTCTTCCAAAGTTGTTCTTCTGCCTGGTGGCCATCTCAGGTCACGTCGATCAGAACCTCGGCCCGGCAGCATAGAACAATGACCAGAAGCCGAGCGGCGGCACAATTAGCATAGCTTCCCATGAAATAACAATGAGATCGTTTTCACGCTTACGTTCGATACAACCTGCATCCCATCCGCAGACAACGCACGTAGGCTTCCGTGGACGACTCGCTGCGCAGCTGGTCTCCGGTTAAATACCTAAAACAGGGAACACAGAAGAAGGGGGTCACGGCTGGGAAGAAATGGCCCAGGTGCGGGGGGGGGGGGGGGAGGGGGGGGGTGGTCATCCAACATTTCATGGAAACGCTCCCGGTTCCGCTCATTATCTAGTCATTTAAAGGGTCAGTCCACCCGCAATTAGAAATTCAAGTTTTGACAGACGCTGGTGGGACGAATCGGCCGTTGGCTTCCGACCTGTTTCGAGGGTCATCTCTAAAGAGAAGCAAAATAAGACCGCTAATCTACCGGGTTATTTAGGGGCGCGGCCGCAGGTCCTGCCAGCCCGTACCCGCATGGAATAAAAAATATATTTTAAAAATGTTCTTCTATTGACGTATCGCTGTAATTTGTAAGAGCTGTAATTTTACAAACAAATTTTAAAAAACTACGCCAAGACCAAGTTTTTGAGATCTAGATCCAACCATTCCAATGGTGACCCCGCCAGAGTCTGACCAAAGTCAATCACACTTTAAGGACAGCTACACCTGGCTAGTGGGCCTATGAAGGTCCTTCTGTACACGGGTCATGGTACAGGAAGTGGCAGTTAGTCACATGCAACTGGACTTGTTTTTGTATTCTTGAAGACATCTCATACCTTATCCAAGCATCACTGAGTCCACCAAAGAAGTCACGAATGGTGAAGCCAAAAGAAGAAGAAGACGAAAGAAGCCAAGAAACAACTTCGGCATTACAGATCACGTCCAGCTGAATGTTACTACCACTACCTACACCAAGCTGGAACCAAGTTCTTGGGTCCCAGCTCCAGCCAATCCGATTTTGACCTCAGATATTGTCTCCTGACAACTGTTTTGAAAATCGCTCCATCTATGAGCAGCTTAAGTTCCTCCTAACTATGAGTTTCTGGCAGTGGTGTATTTAGGTTTTGTGCTGCCCTAGGCAAAATCAGCCACACCCTCCCCCTTTCCCCTGGAGAGAGCCTGACACCAACCAACACCCCCCTCCCCTCTACCTCGACACCCCCCCCACCCCCCCAACTCAAGAGAGCCTTCCACTACCACCACCCTCCATATACACCGGCCACACCACCACCAACCCCAGCGAGAGAGAAAGACACTCGCCTTCAGCCTCTCTCGGATCCTACCTGATCCCCAGATCGCATGTGTCCTTTCTTCCATCTCTTCTTCCGGGGGGCGGTGCAGCTCCCCCTGAAAAATGCCGCCCTAGGCAAATGCCTTGTTTGCCTTTCGGTAAATACGCCCCTGGGTTCTGCTAGACACCAGTATGCACCAAATACGGCCATAGATGGTTTGGAAAATCTCTCCATCTATGAGCGGATTAAGTTCCTCCTAACTATGAGGTTCTGGTAGACACCAGTATGCCCTAAAGGCAGCCATAGACGGTTTGAATCTTGGCCGGTTCAGGAGAGACTTGCCGAGATTCAAGCCATATGGACAGGCTGAATCTACCCAAGCTGACCGATCAATATTATAGCTGCTAGCAGTAATCACTGTGTCCTCCCGGGGGAACACAATAGCTCCATGGGAGTTGACTGAGTTGATGGTGGAACCGAGCGATTTTCTTTCCTGCAGCCCGTGGTTGGAATTGCTTCATCTATGGCTGGCTTTAGGAGCTGAGAAGCAGTGTATGGGGCCAGATAGGTGACAAAGCGGCTTTCAGGTGACCTCTGAAGAACCAAGCTCAAGGTAGCCTCCTCAGATGAATATTCAGGTTCTTCAAAAATCCCATAAGCTCCTGGTTCTCTTTAGGTGTCTACAGATGGCACCACGTCCTCATAACAGTAGGTACTGGTAGACACCACTATGCCCTAAAGGCAGCCATAGATGGTTCGAATCTTGGCCGGTTCAGGAGAGACTTGCCGAGATTCCAGCCATGTATGGACAGGCTGAATTTACCCAAGCTGATCGATCGATATTATAGCTGCTAGCAGTAATCACTGTGTCCTTCATGGAGAACTCAATAGCTCCATGGGAGCTGACAGTGTTGATGGGGGAATCAAGCGATTTTCTTTCCTGCAACCTGTGGTTGGAATTGCTTCATCTATGGCTGGCTTTAGGAGCGGAGAGCAGTGTATGGGGCCAGATAGGTGACAAAGCGGCTTTCAGGTGACCTCTAGCTCTGAAGGACCAAACTCAAGGTAAGTGAAGCTAGAAAAGGACCTTCCCCAAGGAAGCCTCCTCAGATGAATATTCAGATTCTTCAAGAATCCTGTAAGCTCCTTGTTCTCTTTAATTGTCTACAGATGGCACCACATCCACGTCCTCATAACAGAATCTTCTAAAAGCTCTATTCACTCAGCAGATCACCGCCATCTCTGAAGTAGTTCCAGCGACTACAGGGACCATTCCTGGAGTTCAGGAACTTTTCTGCATTTTCTTCAGAAGTATTCCCAATGCATGGAAATGCGATGTACCTGGCTTGCCCAGAGGGTCAAAGCCCCATCATGACTCACGTGTTGTGCGAGGAGGCAATCCAGTAATGTGACAGAGGATTGTTCATATTCTGGGCCGCAATTTCATCGTATTTCTCATCCCGGATGCTGTTCTCCTTGGAAAATAAGTAGGTCAGGAACTGGAAAAAAACGAGACAAAAGGAAGGAGAGTGAGATTTCCTCATAAAAGAGAGAAAGGCCCCGGCTCCTTAACCACTTCCATTCCAGACACTTTCCCCCCTTCCAATCCTGACACTTTCCCCCCTTCCAGTCCCGACACTTTCCCCCCCCTTCCAGTCCCGACACTTTCCCCCCCCCTTCCAGTCCCAGTCCCGACACTTTCCCCCCCCTTCCAGTCCCGACACTTTCCCCCCCTTCCAGTCCCGACACTTTCCCCCCCTTCCAGTCCCGACACTTTCCCCCCTTTCCAGTCCCGACACTTTCCCCCCCTTCCAGTCCCGACACTTTCCCCCCCCCTTCCAGTCCCGACACTTTCCCCCCCTTCCAGTCCCGACACTTTCCCCCCCTTCCAGTCCGACACTTTCCCCCCCTTCCAGTCCGGACACTTTCCCCCCCCTTCCAGTCCGGACACTTTCCCCCCCTTCCAGTCCCGACACTTTCCCCCCCTTCCAGTCCGGACACTTTCACCCCCTTACAGTCCGGACACTTTCCCCCCCTTCCAGTCCGGACACTTTCCCCCCCTTCCAGTCCGGACACTTTCCCCCCCTTCCAGTCCGGACACTTTCCCCCCTTCCTGTCCGGACACTTTCCCCCCCTTCCAGTCCGGACACTTTCCCCCCCTTCCAGTCCGGACACTTTCCCCCCCTTCCAGTCCGGACACTTTCCCCCCTTCCAGTCCGGACACTTTCCCCCCCTTCCAGTCCGGACACTTTCCCCCCCTTCCAGTCCGGACACTTCCCCCCTTCCAGTCCGGACACTTTCCCTCCTTCCAGTCCGGACACTTTCCCCCCCTTCCTGTCCGGACACTTTCCCCCCTTCCAGTCCGGACACTTTCACCCCCTTCCAGTCCGGACACTTCCCCCCCCTTCCAGTCCGGACACTTTCACCCCCTTCCAGTCCGGACACTTTCCCCGCCTTCCAGTCCAGGCCAATTTTCGCTTTCAGCGTTGTCACACTGTGAATGACAATTGCGCGGTCATGCAACACTGTACCCATATGAATATTTTTAGCATTTCTTTTAGAAAGATAAAGCTTTATTTTGGTGGTATTTATTCACCACTGGGATTTTTTTTTTTTTTTTGCTATATAAATGAAAAAGTCCAAAAAGTTTGAAAACAAATTAGTTTTCAAAAAAAAAAATGTACTTTATTTTATTTTTTATATTATTTATGTTTTTTTAATATACTGTCACCCTAGCAGTAGTGTCACCATGGTGACACTGTACTACTTGTGGGGGGTGATGAAGATTTTTTTTTGTAAAAGCAATCATTTCTCCTTCTCTCTGGCTGCATTCCTGCAGCCATTGAGAAATACTGTGTGAGCTGTGATTGGTCACAGCTTGTCACATGGTACAAGGCTGTTGTGAATGGCCCTGTACCATGTGATCTCTGTGATCATTCACAGATTACACATCCCAATCAACTCTAAAAGACCTGATCAGACACTACGCCCAGGGCCGTGGACAAGGGGGTACCACCAGTCCTCCTGTACAGGGCCCAGGCCAGCAGAGGGGCCCAGGCAGCTGGGTCAATTGGATGTGGGCATGGAGGGTGATCGGCACAGCAGAGAGGTGTAAATATGTCACATTTACCATCCCCTTTCCTTTCTTGAATGAACACTTGAGTGATCAGTACCGATCATTTACTGTGTTCATTTAGAGGGAGAGAACGGGAACCGCACAGAGCACCGGAGGGAGAGAACAGGAACCGCACAGAGCACCGGAGGGAGAGAACAGGAACCAAGATTCCACTCAGGAAAAGGTACTCTAAGGCCACTCTGAGTGAAGGTCGGGTAAGAATCATCACATGGCGTTGGAGGACTATAAAGGAAAAGATAAAAGTTGAGACTTTGGTTGGGCTTTAACTGTTGAGCAACCCTGCCCCTCCCCCCCCCCACCCCACGCCCCCCCCCCCCCACGCCCCTATTAAAAAAGGACCAAACTGATTTATATAGAGTGGCCCTTGCCACGCCTTACCTCGTCCACGTAGAGGAAGGGCTCCGCCGTCTCTCTCATAGTGTCGTCTACAAATTTGGTCATCCGCTCGCGGACTTTGTTGAGATCCTGGGCTGAGGACTCCTTTAGGAAGCATGGAGGACAATCAGGACACATGACAAGGGTGGAAAATACGCCTTCCAATCGAACCCAGCCTGCTAGGCCACACCCTCCACCATCCCACACTCTCCGCCCTCCCACACCCTCCACCGTCCCAGATGTACAAGATAAATAAACCAAGTTTTGGAGTCAGAATGGCCGGAGCCGCCTTTTAATAACCAATAAATGATTTCAACATAAATAACATAAAATTCCAAAAATTATAAGCAGAGGAAAGCGTGGAGATCATAGAGGGTCATAAAGCCAACTCAACATTTACGGAAAACATTCCTTCAACTTAGGCCTCCAGCCTACTTATCCCCAACCCAACCCAGCCGCAATCTACTTATCCCCAACCACAACCCACGGCTCAGGGACAATCCTACTTATCCCCCACAACCCACGACTCGGCAATCCTACGTATCCCCAACCACAACCCACCGGCTCAGGGACAATCCTACTTATCCTACGTATCCCCAGCCGCAACCCACCGGCTCGAGGACAATCCTACTTCGGGGACCCACGCCCCAACCCACCCACCGACTCGGTGACAATCCTACTTATCCCCAACCACAACCCACCGGCTAAGGGACAATCCTAAGTATCCCCAGCCGCAAACCACAACCCACCGGCTCAGGCTCGGTGACAATCCTAAGTATCCCCAACCACAACCCACCGGCTCGAGGACAATCCTACTTATCCCCAGCCGCAACCCACCGGCTCGGTGACAATCCTACGTATCCCCAACCACAACCCACCGACTCGGTGACAATCCTACTTATCCCCAACCACAACCCACCGACTCGGGGACAATCCTACTTATCCCCAACCACAACCCACAGGCTCGGGGAACAATCCTACGTATCCCCAACCACAACCCACCGACTCGGTGACAATCCTACTTATCCCCAGCCGCAACCCACCGGCTCGAGGACAATCCTACGTATCCCCAACCGCAACCCACCGGCTCAGGGACAATCCTACGTATCCCCAGCCGCAACACATCGCATCGGGGGACAATCCTAAGTATCCCCAACAGCAACCC